AGTCCGGTCCTGTTACTAGGGGCGTCGTCCGGTTCAATTACGGAAAACGTTATCCAGATGTTTGTATTCAGACACAAAGGTCTTACGGACAGAGTACTGAACATTTCCGTTTTTCATGGCCTGTCTGAAGGGGGCTGTAGTCATCACATGATAATCCTTAACGAGAACAAAGGTAACAATAGGTTTGGGAAAGCTACATCTCAATTATTTGATAAAGAAAGTGCCAGACATCCCTTACCGGTAGCAAAAAAGCATGCTGTTCCCAGATTTGATGTTTTAAATATCTCAGCATTTGATGGCCTTCCCATATCTGCTAACATTGTTGAAAACCAAATCCCTTCTATCCAAGATCCAAATTAGTCAGTCAATTAAAAACTATTAGATTCTAAGTGATTAAAAAAATACATTTTTCCTATAAAGCAGCCCACAGCTCAAATTGGCAACTCTAAAGTCTACACAAGCCACCAGTGATTGTATCACCATCACAAAAGCCATTTTGGTTCGGAGTTACTGGCCATAAACACATTCAATTAGTTAAACTAAGTGCACAAAGCCAAATGCATCTTTTAAACTGAATGTTGAGCAAAAACTGCTCAGATTTCACCCTCACATCCTTAGCTTGTAGCATTTGTAAAGAGCCATGTCAGCATATAACCATGTCAAGAGCAATTGTGCTTTTTAAAACTGTCTCCTTCATAGTAAGAACAACTTTAGAGAGCATGAAGAGAGCTGCAGCTCCTCACGCTGAGGAAAACTCCCCAGGCCCAGAAGCAGGCTTGATAAAGTTGGCGCTCATCAATATTACGGTCTTTAATAATTCAACCCTGAGGCCTGATGCAGGTCAGTACACATTCCTACTTACTCTACAGTTTGTTGACCGCGTAACATACATGCAGCTCTACAAGGAGAATTAAGGTCTTGTTATTCTTCTTGATAAACCTGACATTGTTCTTTGAAAAGTTGGTGAAATACTCGGATGAACGTTCAACTGATGGTGTTGTGCCCAGAAAAGCGCCCTGGCGAGGAAAACTCTTTGATGCAGAGTGTTATAATAAAGGTATTATGAACACAAATGGAAGCCAGACAATGATTTTTAATAGCAAAAATGTGTGACTCTAGTTCATAGTTTACTCAAAGTGTTGGCCATCTCAAGCTCAGGAGCGGTACTTGTTTGAAAATGCTTTGGCACCAACGATTTAGACGTGGGCTTTTCTCTGAGACATGAACAGACAGAGGTACTTCTTTGACAGTATGTGGTGGACTGCCCTGTTGACTTACTTAGATGAATACATCACATTGTTTGTTGCTCTGATTGATCCTTGTGCTGTCCAAATGCGTGCAGAGACCGTTTGAAAGACAACCGAAGAGTCTGCCTCACAACTAAGCTCGGCCTATTGGTCATGGCCACACTAATGAAGTTCGGCTTTTTATAATAGAACATGAAATTTGGTTCATTTTGTACCTCTACCCTTAAGCAGTCTATTCCTGGAGCAAGACCTGCAAAAAATAAGAATAAAAAAAAAAATACAACAGCATTGTAATTAAGGCACCTATTATGACTACAGACCTGTGGCTCTGACATCTGTGGTCATGAAGTCATTTGAGCACCTGGTTCTACCCCACCTCAAGACCCTCACATCACAATGGTGGACTCAAGTCACTTTCTGGGCACCACCATCACCCAAGACCTCATGTGGGAGCCCACCACCTCCATCATAAAATAGGCCCAGCAGAGGATGTACTTCCTGAGGCAGCTGAAGAAATTCAACTTGCCAGTGCAGCAGATGAGGCAGAGCTACACCACAATCATCAAGTCCATTCTCACCTCTTCAATCACCATGTGCTGGACCTACCACCAGGGAAAAGAAGAAGCTGCAGCATGTCATGTGCTCTGATGTGAAGGTCATTGGCTGCTAACACCCCTCCATACAGGACCTGTACCCCTCCAGGACATTGAGGCATGCAGGTCGGATCACAGCTGACCTGTCACTCTGGACGCAGTCTCTTTGACTCGCTCCCATCAGGCAGGAGGCTCAGAACCATTCGGACCAGAACCTCTCACCGCAAAAACAGTTTCTTCCCCTCTGCAGTCGGACTCGTGAACATCAGTCGCAGACCTGCCCACTCCAGTTGCTTTGTTTCAGTCACCTGACCCTGTGTTGTGTTGGCATCTGTACTGATCCGCTCTGACCAGTACCAACACTGACATGTATGTAGTAGCTGCTTCTCTAATTACTGCCTCCCTATTTATTATTATCATTTCATTGCGTTTATATCTTAATTCTAATTTTTGCTTATCATTTATTTTTTTCTTTCTTGTACAAAGTACTGCTGCAATTTCCTAATGAGATTCTCGCACACATGGCAATAAAACCCTTCTGAATATCCCGATTCTGATCCTATAAAAAGTAATGAAACAACACCACTCTTGTAGAACAGAAACAGCCACCCACACTAAAAAACTATGTGCAGGATGAGTTCCAAGCTTGCTAAGTAAGATGTTTATCATGTTCGCCTAAAGCCCACAGCTGTGCCGTCTGTCCTGTCCCAAACAACCCAAATGCTTTTGGTTAAAATGAGTCGCCTCTCCAGACTCTGGAAAAGGGCAGATGTCTTAGCCTGGCCTGGGGCTACAGGTCTCTCATCTGGGGCCTTTCTTACAACTACCCAGGGGACCTTCCATAACACTGACTCCCCTCCCCCAATCATGATTCAGCACATGTACATGCGTGTACTTAAAAAGCACACAAGCAATCCCAGCCAACAAACACTTGGATCACTTAAGGAGGTTACAAAAGGGGCAAGAGTGGTGGCGGATGTACTTGCAAAAAGGGTGTGTGTGGGTAAGGACAAGGGGGAGGATGAAGAAAAAAGACAAGAGCACGAGGCTGGCTGGGGTAACTGGTACGAGGCAAAGGCGCAGACAAAGACTAATAAATGTAAACGGTATGAGTGGATGAAGGAGAACGATGTAGGTGTTCGTGCCACAGCAAAGACCACCCAGCTGTGGATCCCTGAGCTCTCAGCAGCCTCTTCTTCCACTGGAACCAAGGCTCAAACTAAACCAGCTCGTATGTTTAACGTGTAAATGTTTAACCATCAATCAACATCATAAAACCCAGTCTGGATCTCTTTCTTCCTCTCTGCTAACTTCCAGCATGTCCCCTTCGCTCCTCATCTCCCTGTTTTTCTCCCCAACCCCCTCCTTGTTCTAATTCCCTCAGCTCCTCCTGGATGCTGGGCATATGCCACAATGCCACTCCCTCTTCCTTTTTCCAATCTGCCCTCAGCTCAGTGACAGCCATCAATCAGCCGCTGCGCCATGGCGACGGGAGCCCTCGGGGAGCGTCCGACAGACCCAGCGTGAATATGCTGGGGCTTTACGAGCACCGCTGGCTAACAGAGCAGCTCAACTCACCTCCCCCACTCTAAGACAAAGACTAGGGTCCATGGACTAGTTCTGTACACACACACACACACACACATCTGATCGACCCATAATAATCACAAAGAAAGCCAACATTAGAGCAGAAGACAACCACAAGATGTTACAGAAACTCACAAATCTCCTCAAATGGCATACCCCAAAAATTACTCCTTCCTTCATGTTTTCATGTAAGAAAAAATATGAAACTTTATGTTTAAATAAAAATAAATCACTAGTCAGAATTTGTTGCGACCGAAAATCCCAGGGAAATATGTTTCAATACTTGTTTAAAGGTATTTAAAAAAATTGGAAAAACAGGGTTAAAGATATACAAATATGTCCAAATACAAGATATTTTTCCCAAAACATAATGATTCTTTTCCATTTTACACAATGTAAGGCATAATCTGCCAAAACAAGCACTTATGAAGATGTGAAATGTGGCTGGCTGTCAAACAAAACATGCCCCTTCCCCTTTGTTTAAAGCTCAGAATAATGAGGAATGTGGTTATTAAAAGGGCTGCATCAAACAACCTTTCTCCTGAATCCCAGGTCACCTGGCAGATCTAGAGGTCTGTTACCCTGGCAACCCTATCTGCTGAGAGCAGGACCAACATCTCTGTTTTTACCCCAGATATGCTGCTGACCAACCAATAAACTGCGTTCTGCATCACCGATCCTGGAAAACACTTCACCTCAAATGCATTTCCTGTTCTGGTGCAACAAAATCGTATCATAAGTCAGTTTTATTTGCATGAACTACCCAATGTTTGGCTAACCTTTCTAAACTAGAACCAGACTAGCAGTTCACGCGTTTCTTGCTCTGCATAAGACTCCTTTCAGAGTGCTGACTCAAAAGCAGGAAATAGTGCAGCAAACGAAAATGTATAATTATCGAGACGCAAAACACCCATATCATGCAAATATGGAAGTGCCATCATAAGAAGAGCAATGCACAACCAAATGAGGCACGCGTGCACACACACACTGGTAGTGAAATATTAAAGTGTATGCCTCTTTCTCTCGCTCTTTACTTTAAAACTCTTTAGGATTGTGGCATTGTTGGTTATGTTTCAACATGCCACAATTACGGATAGCTGGAGATCTTTATCGCCCACCCCTCGTCAAAAAAATAGAGACAAATCAAACAGGGAGAACATTTTTCAGATTATGTGGAAAAACACATTTTTTCCATCCTCATCATCTTCATACTGAAGACAGGAATCCGGGATCTTGGGAGAGAGTAAGCGACAGGTCTGACTCTGGGAATGCTGACATCAGCTTCATTTTCCCTGAAGCCTGTGAGGCTCATTATTTGGAGCATCATTCAACTCCACATATTATAAAAAGACAAGGATAATATTTAAAACATAAATAGGTAGGACCAAAAATACAGACTGTTCGCCTCATGTGTGGGGGCTGCATAACCACTGGAAATGAAGATTTTATTAGGACTTGTTTGACTGTCATGAGACAGAGAGAGATAACCATCGCTTTCCTCTGATAGTTCCCCAAAAAAATTCCAAATGGAGCCAAAAGTTGTATCCTCCTGTTTCATCTAAGCACCACTCACATAATCATGGAAGGCCTTTGCTTCGCTGGAGTGGTCACATGTCTCTCTCCTCTCTGGTGCAGCACAATACAAGTCCCAGAAAACACTGTGGACAAGAGTGGCCATGAAGCAAACAAAATCCACACAGACTAGCTTCAGATGTTACAAGGAGATGAGACTCACCACCACCAGGAATGCAGGAATCCAGGGGGTTCTCCGAGTGTTATATTTTTCTCCCATCGAATCTGCGAAAGAGTCATCCAGGGGTAAATAGTAGAATTTTTATCTATTCAATTAAAATTAAGTACTAAAATTAGGACACATGCTTAATAATGTGGTTGAACTTTTACCCCAAATTCCACATACCTCTGATAAAAAGGTCTGTGCAGACTTCTGTGCTCCTATGTGTAACAAATACTCATAAACGTATAGAGCCAACCTGTATGAAAACAAAAGAAAGAACAGCAGTTATGTAGGTTTGAGTTTTCAAGCCAAACTCGTCAAACATCAGGTTAATTCTTCCTGTGTGGGAACACTGAGTGACTGGAGTCTGCTACAGGCCCTGTGAACAATGGCTGCCAAATAACCCATGCCAAAAATTAAATGGGGACTGGAAAACAAGCCAAGCCTGTTGAAGATCTACTACATGATCACGTAGGGAAGCTGTGATGAAACAACACGGCCGGGAACATAAAAGCCAGCATGTTAGCTTTGTGCGGTGTCTTGGTGGCACTGATGGGGCTGAGGGCAATAAAAAACGAAGCCTATCCAAAGAGCGCAACAGAGACAGAAAACAATGCTCTGTAGCGCGGCGGTGTTATTGTTTTCTCCCTTTGAATAACCGCGAAAATATTCGGCAGGCGTCGCTTAAAACTCAACCAGACCGCCACGCAAATTGGTCGCGGATGTGTTAAAAACACTGCAACAAGGCAAAAGAAAGGAGCAGAAACACAACGAGGAGGAGGAATGGCGAGCAGACAAGGCGGTTCATTCAATTCCATTCTCGGTAGGAGGAAACCGCCTCTCGCTAGCCTCCCCAGCGAACAACAGAAAGCAAGTTACGTGGTGGAAAAATACGGAATAAAAAACGTTTCTCTGCTTACTTTTCCCGTGCTTGGCTGTCCGACGGCACCGGGGTGCCCTTGCCTTTGGGGAACATTGTTTTGTGTGGGAGGACGCCCGCCTTCTGTTTCTTTTTATCGTTATTTCATCTGTCAGACCATCGCGGCCGCGACCCTCCTCAATCCAACGACTCAACCGAGCCTGGTCCGGGGGAAGAGGCGGGGCTAGCGTGAGTGATCCTCCAGGAAGCCAATCAGAACGCGCCGTCCCTCTTAAGGTCCACCTTTTTGTGTTTTCTGTTTACAGTTCTGACGTCAATAACTTCAATATCAATGAGTTCAGTTTAAGGTACAAATTCACGTTTGCAGATTATTTCAAGCCCAATGGACTGTTTTTGTTTCAAAATCACAGAACACTGGAAATTTGTAAAATATTAGGTTTTACAGGCTTACATCTCATTATTGCCTTCAGTATATACAAATTCTAACGAGAGCAGGTTGAATTTATCTCTTCAGAATACATTTATTACAATTTTGTGAGGTTCAAGTAAAAATGTTTGATCTCTTTCTCTAGTAGGGAACAAAAACAAGCAAAACAAAGACCGAATTGCATTGATTTGGAGGCCATCAGCAAAGAGTTAAGCAAAAATAATATATCTAATCAAGACCCAAAAAGGATTTACAACCATTTGGTGTTTTGAGCAAGCTTCACCCATCTTGCTTCATATTGTTTGACTAATCAAAATTCCTAATTGTTATGCGGCATCCTCCTGGGTAAAAGGAAGGCATGCATGTTGTCTGTAGGCGGATCCAAAGACATCAGCCATTTTTGGTATGATAAATTCATGAGAGTACATGGGAAAACTTACACATCTGGAGGTCGTTCAAGCAGTTTTTACAGAGTAGATTTACCTTATTATCAAGACAAGGTACATTCTACAAATGTTAGTATTAGCATTGGTTTAAATAGACAATGTGCTAAACTGACCTCCATGCAGTCCAGTTGTCACACAGAGAAAACACTTGGTACAATAAAACATAAATTAAAAAAGACTATAAAACTATTGGAGTCAAATGTGAAGCAGGAGGGACAAGCTTTTATTGCAACCGGTCTTCTCAGTTCCTGCAGACTTGAATAAGTGAGGTGATGCAACACAGTGGTAAACATGTCTCTGTCCCATCTTGTTGTGAAACAAGTTGCTGCCATCAAACTTAAAATGCAAATGAGTCATCTGTGTTTGATTTCCTAATAGGCCTACAGGATTATTGCAACAACTTTCATTGATTTTTAATTTGATTTGCAGACAATCTCACTGATTATGAAAGTCATGGGACCTGCACTAAAAGACTCTTGACAGAAAACATTCATTAGCAGTCCTAATATATGTAAATTGCTCGTTAAAAACTAGAGACGCTTTTTTAAATTGTGATTTATTTTTCTAATTGATTCCAAATAAAAGACAGTCCCAGTTCCACCTTAAGGGCTCCTCGGCGTGGGTGGGGGGTGGTGTTATCTGCCTCTTTCTCCCTCCAGTGGCCAAACTTCTCCAACTTCTCCAGTCAAACCAGTCGTACTGTGTGCGCATTCACCCAGTTGTCGTGACTGGTTCTGGTCAGAGCGTATGGCTCGGTTCGGAAGTTTCTCTCTGGGACGGGTTTTAATAACGTGAACCCGTGAGCACAGCACTCCCAGGACTTCGCTGCAGCCGAGAACTTTATCCAGTAAGACATGCTTTGTGCCGTTTCTCGGTGTTCGTTCGCTCTGAAGATTATGTAAAACTTATTTTTAGTTTGAGTGTTGTACCAAGTTCGTGGAGAATGTTACTTCTGTGTTAATCTCTGAGAGTTTCCCCAAACCAACGTCCCAGCCTCCAACGCAGCATTTAGTTTGTATCCGCTGCACTAAAGGACATGCCCACGCTGGAAATTAAAATAACTTTTCATGTAAATTAGCCTAAGAAACATGGTTGTAACCACGTTACTGAGCGTTTCAGACTCAAGAGTTATTGGCAGATGGAAACATTTTTTTATTTACTTATCAAGACCAGTTACAGGTTATTTAAGTATTATTTATTATCATTATTAGACCATAAAGTGCGTTGGTCAAAGTTGCGTTATTTTTTTCTCTTGACTTATGTCTTATGTGAAGGTTACCGCCTGCTTTATTTTTTAAAATTGTGAATAGAAAATATAAAACATATATTTAAAACCCATTTATTTAGTTTTATTTAGTTGTTCATTTAATAAACATGTTATAACATTCGCCTTTAAGAGGTGTCCAAACCTTTCAACATGAGGGCCAAACCTTTTTCCGACAAACATCTTACACAAAAATGTGTTTTCTGTGTCTCTTCAATAATATCTTAAACATGCAATCAATTCCTGCAAATAAGAGTTATTTATTTGTTGTTTTATTGTAGAAATCGTAAAACTTTGTAGGTGAGAAGCTTCAAAAGGGTCTCATACCTTTGTCTTAATGAGATTGGTTGAGATGGTATTTCCAGTTTTTTGCTCCTCATAATAAAATTTAGACTATTATCGACTTCAAGAAAAAAAATCTTGGTCATTTCTTCTGTCGTGTTTGCTGGGTTAAAGTCATGATTCTCGTAGGTCTGTTTTTTAATAAAATTCGGTGAGGGGTCTTTTGGTCCAATTTTCTATTAAATTAAATCAAATTAAAAGAAGACTAAAACTTTGAATTAGACTTGACATTTCACATTAAAACAACATTTTAAGTTACAGGATAATAAAACAAAATAAAGTTTTTATCTGCATCATCAACCTGCTGGAGAAACAAACTTACTGTTCCTCAAATGCAGTTAAGAGACGCAAGAGGCCCCTGGGCCACACGTTGGAGACGTCTGATCTAAGAGATGGGAAGAGGTCAGGTTTTGTCCAGGTGTTTTTAATTTTATTTATTTCCTGTCTTTATACTTGTGAGTTATGACATCTGTGGAGAAGGATGCAGAGACCTCACTGGACCCCCAGTTAATCCAAAGCTGTGGGGACGTGTACAGAAACCCCACTGAAGTGCAGATGAGTCAGATCGTGCTGCCCTGTCATGCCAATCACTGCGGGGAGCTGAGTGTTGGACAGCTGCTGAAGTGGATGGACTCCACAGCCTGTTTATCCGGTAGGAACAAATTCAGAAGCTCAGGAAGTAGACGTGTAGGGAAAATACTTGGGAAGGCAACACAGAAAATCCAGATTATCAGTTTTAAGTCTGAATGGATCTGGTTTATTGTGAGGCATACAGTGAGGCGAGTCAGCCTCCAATTGTGTTGTTTTCTCTCACTTAAAAAGGTGAGAGAGACCTGTAATTTTCATCATAGGTTTACCACAACTAAGAGACAAAATTAGGAAAAAAATCCAGAAAATTACAATTGTCTCATTTTTAAATAGTTTATTTACAAATTATGGTGGAAAATAAGTATTTGGTCATTAACAAAAGTCCATCTCAATACTGTTATGTACTCTTTGCTGCCAGTGACAGAGGTCAAACATTTTCTGTAAGTCTTAACATGGTTTTAACACACTGCTGCTGGTATTTTGGCCCATTCTTCCATGCAGATCTCCTCTAGAGCAGTGATGTTTTGCAGCTGTCGTTGGACAACATGGACTTTCAACTCCCTCAAAAGACTTTCTATGGGGTTGAGATCTGGAGACTGTCTAGGCCACTCCAGAACCTTGAAATGTTTTTTATACAAAGCCATTCATTTGTTACCCGGGTGCTATGTTTGGGATCATTGTCATGCTGAAAGACCCAGCCACGTTTAATCTTCAATGCCCTTTCTGATGGAAGGAGGTTTTCACTCAAAATCTGATGATACGTGGCCCCAGTACTTTCTTTTACATGGATCAGTCGTAGGGCAGGGCGATACGGCCTAAAATCAATATCACGATAGATTGAGGATTTCACCTCGATAACGATAAATGGACGATAACTACAAGTATGCGCAAAAACAAAAGTTGTCCACTAGATGAGGCTGTCGTATTACCTTGAGTCACATATTTGTGACTCAAGGTGGTATAGCTTCTTAAAGGGACATGAACGTTGCCAACCTACACACATCTTTTCTTTTTTTTATTATCAAATTTATTGACATGGGAAAAATTATCTTGATAAGAGTCAGAAAGTTCGATAAATTTTCGATTTATTGCCCAGCCGTAAGCAGTCGTCCCGGTCCCTTTGCAGAAAAGCAGTCCCAAAGCATGATGTTCCACCCCCATGCTTTACAGTAGGTATACTGTTCTTTGAATGCAACTCAGCATTCTTTCTCCTCCAAACATGACGAGTAGAGTTTTTTACTAAAAAGTTCTATTTTGGTTTCATTTGACCATGTGACCATCCCACCATCCTCTTCTGGATCTTCTACATTCTCTGTAGCAAACGTCACACGGGCCTGCACGTCTACTGGCTTAAGCGGGGGACACGCCGGCCACCGCAGGATTTAAGTCCCTGGCGGCCCTGATGGTAACCTTTGTAACTTCGGTCCCAGATCTCTGCAGGTCATCCGCTAGATCTCCCTTGTAGTTCTGGGATGTTTGCTCACCGTTCTTGTGATCATTTTGACCCCACAGGGTCAGATCTTGTGTGGAGCCCCTGATTGAAGGAGATTTTCATTCTTCACACCAAGCTTAACTCATTAACTATATTAATTAATATTACTTCAGCTTCAGTAATCGTTCTACTGATATAAACTTAAATCAGGGTATCCGCGGGTCCTTGAAAAGTCTTAAAAAGTCTTAAATTTACTTTTCCAAATTTAAGGCCTTGAAAATCCTTAAAAATGACAAATAACCCTTAAATACAATTTCCAAAGGTCTTAAATTACCAAAGACCCAATAAACAAGATTATTTTATTTCTATGAAATTTTTGTGAATTTCTAGTTAGTGTTCAGCATTTTTGTGTATGATATTGGCGTAAGCGGAACCGTACACGTTCAGTTGGTTGTGAAAGGGGGCTATTTTTAGATGAGCACATTAGCTGGTTAAGCTAGTGGGAGCTTGCACCATGGGGAGGTGCAAGTTTAATGGTAACTGGATGGCTAATCCCACGTTCGCGACGTGGTTAGCACCGGTTCCAGGCAATAGCTGGAAATTATAGCAGAAATTTAATTAAAAAAATTAACTTAAATTTGGTCAAAGTGGCCTTAAAAACGGTCTTAAAAAGTCTTAAATTTGGCTCCCTTAAACCTGCAGTTACCCTGTTAAATGCTAGTTAAGAGTTTGTTTCTGTTAACGTTTTATGTCATCTCAAGATGAGAAGCTTTTATTATACTTGTCCTGAAAACTTTGGGCTACATGTTTGTGTAATATGTCCACCTCCAGCTGAGAGACACGCAGGTTGCTCCTGTGTCACCGCATCAGTAGATGACATCCACTTTGAGCACACTATAGGGTAACGTATTACCTTTAGTACTACGGCTTAACTTAAAGAGAAGTTTTAGATGAGTCTTTAAAGACAGAACATTTTTATCTTTGACCAAAGCTCGAGAGAAAAAAAAATCTTAACTTCAAACTCATTGTTAAAAATACCAGCAGATTATCTTTTTTTCTATTGATGTTTAAATGATCAAATACACTCCTGGTATCCTTTTGAACTAAACATTGCGTAACACCTGAGCTCCATGTCAATAATAACAAGTTCTGGTGTCTTCTTCAGGGTCGGAAAGGTTGTCAGTATTATAGCTAAAGTGAACAGAGCCTTCACGTCGAGCATGGAGGTGGGTGTGTGTCTGTGTGGGATTTTAGTTTGGTGACTGTTGTTTTGTAAAAGCGCTGTCTGGATTTCAGGTGGGCATTCTGGTAACCTGTGAAGACCTTTACACTGACCGGCACTGGAAGGTTTGCCACGCCTTCGCCACCTTTGTTGCCAGACGAACTGAAGCGGGGAAGGTAAAACGAGTAAAAAAAAATATCATCACATAAGCGTTCAGCTAAAGCTGGTTCAATGTCACCTTGTTTTGGTTTGTGTGTACACAGGTACAGCTCAAGCAGGTGATTCCACACACACAAAAGGAGCAGATGGAGTACAGCTTGGCAGCAGAGCGGCGACGGATGAGGCTCATCCATGCTGAGATTATCACAGACCTGCTGAACAGCAGCACAGCTCAGCTGGGTACTAACACGAGGCTTCACGAGACACACAGTTCTTAAGCATCAGATGGATTACAGATGCTTGTTCTGGAACTCCCATCAGGAGAATTTCAGGAGTTTGAGGACTCGGTGCTGGCTGAGCGGACTCGAGTAGAGAGCGTGGAGCTGGTTCTGCCGCCCCACACCAACCATCAGGTCAGCACTTTTGGAGGCCAGATCATGGCCTGGATGGAGAACGTGGCTACAATCGCGGCAAGGTATGCTTTTAGTATTCGTGGTTTTTGACCTTTTTTATTCACAAAGAAAGAAGCTAAACTAGCTTACGAGCTTTTTGTCAAAAGGTTCGGTGTTTTTATGTTCACACGTCTGCGAGAGGAGCCAGTTAAGGCGTCTCGGGTATCTAGTGAGGTTTTCTGGGCACGTCCAATCGGAAAGAGACCTAAAGGAAGATCTGTTAAATCAAATTTCCACACAAGAGAACCCAGTACAACAAATAGAACAAAGCAGTTTATTCGGTGTCATGTATTCATAAGAGTCATTTTTTCATGCAGAAATAAATATATGTTGGTACGTGGAGTCAATTTCTGCTGTAATCAAACAATAAAAACTCTTTTGACTTATGTTACACATTTTAATCCAGTCGACTGTGTAATGCTCACCCAACCCTGAGGACCATAGACATGTTCCATTTCCGTGGCCCGTCTCACATCGGTGACCGACTGGTGCTGAAAGCCATTGTTAACAATGCCTTCAAACACAGGTGACTCTCCACAGAACCAAAGACATTTCGCTCCATTGTTATATTATTTATGTTACTGAATTCTTGAATTTTTTCAGCATGGAGGTGGGAGTTTGTGCTGAAGCCTATCAGGGCGGAGAACCTCTTCGTCATATAAATAGCGCCTTCATGACCTTTGAGGTGCTGGACGGTGACAGAAAACCCTGCACGTTACCACGGATACGACCCGAGCCTGTTGTAGGTGTTCTGAGCTGCGTTTTTCCTACTCTTTGACTGATGTGAAGCTCATGAAGGTTGTTTTGTTTTTAAGAGTGTTTGTTTTTTCTCATTTCCCAGGATGGAAAAAGACGTTATCAAGAAGCCATTGCCAGGAGGAAGATTCGCCTCGATAGGTTAGCATCTCCTGTTGAGTACAGTGATCCCTCGCTACTTCGCGGTTCGTTTATCGCGGATTCACGACTTCGCGGATTTTTTCTTTGGAGCCTTATTCAAGGGAAATTTGCAGATTCGCGGTATTTTTCACCGATTCGCGGTATTTTTCTATGCGAAATATCAAGAAATTCCTGGTTTTTTTTTCATCAATTTCATCATAAAATGCACTTTTTGTAATAAAACTATAAAAAAAAAACAAGTAAAAAATGTTTTCTATGTAAAGGGAGGGTTTTAAAAGTCTGAATAATACTGAATACGTACCTGTTAAATAAATACTGTAAACATGGTGTCCCTACTTCGCGGATTTTCACCTATCGCGGCCAGGTCTACCGCGATAAACGAGGGATCACTGTAATCACAACTTTTGTTCCTTATTTTAAATCAGGCCTAGGGTAGATTTTAGATGCCTGACATAAAAAAACTTAGTATTTCCAGGAAAGTCAGTCTTATTTATCAAAAATATCCTCCGCTTACAAACAGTTTTCTTCAGTTAAATCATAATTTTGACACAAACTTAGCATTTTCATTCATTTTGTAAAAATCACAAGCAACTAAAAAAGAAACTAATATTACCTAGAAAGTGTGTGACTAAAGAAACCCTCAAACTATCTAATATCAGATCATGTGAATCAGTAAACAATAATTTATTATTTTTATGGCTCTATGTAACAAAGCCCATTGTTCTGAATAGTTTTCAACAGTAAATGACTTATCAGGTCAGCATAACACTGTTAAATAATCTTTGGTGCAGAATAATGAACTCGTTGTTCAGCTGCTTAACGCCCTCTCTCAATCCTCAATATCTAAAGCTGTGACGCTGCAGCTCCAGTCGGAGTGTTGACTGTTTTTGTCATTTCTGCCCTGAATGTCTACAGAAAATACATAATCTCCTGCAAGCAAACCGAAGCGCCGCTGTCTGTTCCCTGGGATCCGAGTAACCAGGTAGTACAGGAGAAGTGGTAAAAGCTGGTCAGATGTTGGCTTCAGACTCACTGTTTGTTTTTTCTAGATGTATCTGAGCTACAACAACGTATCAGCTCTGAAACTAATGGATACCAGAACCAACTGGGTTCTAACATCAGAGAAAAACAAGGTCAGTGTGGTTTGGGTCATTACCCAGGATGCTGCTTGGTGACAGCTGTTGGGTTTCCTGACTATTTTAATTCAAAAAAACAAAAGCCCAGTTAATGAAGGAAGCTCTAAAGAAGGGGAATATTTTTTCTCACACATGCAGTTAAACGATGACATCTTACCCCAAAATTCCACTACCTCCGCTGCGCCCCCGCCTTCCGCAGCCGCTCGCTTCCGAACTCAATTTTTACTGGTACCCGCTCTACGACGGCTCCGCTCCGGTGCGGAGACCTGAGGTGCGCAAACAGGCATGCGCGGGATTTTCGAGATCTTGCGATACAGTCCGAGCAATAAACGCGGAAGTTAGATCCAAACACCCGTTGTGTGGGAGAAGCATTGAAATGAACTGTTTAATCTGCCCATCATTTGTGTTGAGAGATCAGCAGTGTTTGGATCAACAAAGTGTGACTACTTTGATAGTGGAAACTGTATTTATGGCTTATTTTTGTGCATTTAAAGTTCAGCCGCCATTGATAGTTGTTAAAAGTTGTTAAACCTGTGCATATGAAACGAAAAACGCTTTTTGTTTATCGATTTATTGTGAAATAACGGAAGTTGTGCTTGCTCCCTTTCCTGTTGGGCGGTTGTGGTTTCTGTCCATTGACTGCAGAGGTGCTCCGGCGTCCGTCAAAAATAGAATCGATCCTATTTTTGCCGGATGGCGGAACGGCGGGCGGCGCAGTGCGCCGCACGGCCGCAATGGTGGAACAGCTCTGATTGACTACAACGGGACCGATTTTGCTGCGGAGTTCGTGCCGGAGCGGAGCGGAGGTAGTGGAATTTTGGGGTTAGGTGGAACAGATCCTGTTCATAGACACTGGTGTTGCATTCACAGGTCAGACTGTACACACTGGAGGAGAACCACATGCTGTGCATCAAGGTGGAGATGCACGTCAGCGTCCCAGCAGAGCAGGCCTTCTACCTCCTGTCAGACCTGAGGAGGAGAAAAGAGTGGGACCGACATTATGAGTCAGTGACGACCTCAGAAGCTGCATCATGTGACTCAGTGCATTTCTCAGCTAGCACAGCGGGCTAATTGTTTCGTTATTTTCTTACAGCAGCATTGAATCAGCAGTAATTTAATGTGTTGTTCTTTTTTATTTTATTGTGTTTCACCTGCAGGGAGTGTGAGGTGATCAACCAGGCAGATGAGGATGACACCCTTTATCGTATAGTTACCCCCTCTGTCAGCAAAGGGGGCAAAGGGAAAGATTTTATCTTGTTGGCATCCAGAAGAAAGCCATGTGACTCCAGGTGCTGCACAATAACACCTGTTTTATTTATTTTCTTTGTTTATGTTTTCATGTATTTTAGCTTCATCTTCTGTTGGACACCTCTTCAGCCAATATCGCTTATGGGGCTAAACCATATTTTTCAGTCAAACTGTGTTTTCCTTTGTTTTTTTCTTAAACAATTTTAACAAAACAGCAGGAATATGTTCAGTCTTTGAGAAAGCACGCGTTTATTAAACTTTTATTCCAGACACAAGTCCATAAAAATGAAAAACAACATAAATAATTGTGAGAATAAAAGATCAGCAATCCGGAAAACACAATTTAAAGTTGATTCTTTGCCAAGCAGTCTGTTAGGCGTCAACACAACACTGACTCATTCATAAAGTGTAGGAGACTTTTTTAAGTGCCTGACTGAATCAAAGGTCAGATTTAAGTAGCTTAACAAACATTCAAATGGCAAAGAAATGTGTGTTAGAAAGAATGAGGTGCTGGACTGAAAGCCAGTGAGAAAGCAGCCACAGTTCCAAGAAAACCTCTGAAGGACGCTCGGAAATCCTGGAGAACTGTTGATTAGGATCACTTTAAACAGTTACAAGACAGTTTGGAAGGAAAATATAAAGAAAAAACAAATTTTGCACAGTCTTATAAATTCCCGTTAAACTCTTTACTGCAGTGATGCCGACGTTGTACCGGTCTGTCGTGGTGAAGAGAGAGCTGAGCCAGAAGGCGAAGCTCTCATTTTACCGGTCTGTTCTGGTTCCTACCCTCACCTATGATCACGAGCTTTGGATAGTGACTGAAAGAATGAGATCGCGGATACAAGCGTCCAAAATTAGTTTTCTCCACAGGGTGTCTGGGTTCGCCCTTAGAGATAGGATGAGAAGCTCGGTCATCCGGGAGGGGCTTGGTGTAGACCCGCTGCTCCTCCACTTCGAGAGGAGCCACTTGAGGTGGCTGTGGCGTCTGATTAGGATGCCTCCTGGACGCCTCCCTGGTGAGGTTTTCCAGGCATGTCCAATGAGGAGGAGAGCTAATGGATACCCAGGACACGCTGGAGGGCCTATGTCTCTCGCCTGGCCAGGGAACGCCTTGGAGTTCCCCCAGAAGAGCCAGTCCAAGTAGCTGGGGAGGGAAATCTGGGCTTCTCGACTTTCGTAAAGTTCATTTACTTGAAGTTTTATTTCTGCTGCCCATTCATCTCTGTGACCCACTGAAACATTTGCACACTTGGAGAAATTGAAAAACACGAGGCTTCCACACCAGCGCTGGCTCCACTCTGCCTAGATAGGGTAGGAAGTGTTCACATCCGCATAGCCACTGGTTGTCTTTTCAGCCCTCTTCCCAACGCGGTCTACTTCGAGCTGAACTGGTCAGGCGGAACACACCCACTGCCGACTAGTTGGCCGGCTCAAATTCATACCTGCCGCTAGAGGGAGCCTCCGATTGGTGGATAGAATCAGCCAGCGGGGCTTCTCGCATGTGCAATTTATTATCATTCTTGATATTCTGGAATAAACAAACCTCTGACTGAAGCCATTCCTTGTTCTCTGTCTCTCTGAAGCCCCCTTCAGACAGGCCATGAAAAACGGAAATGTTCCGGACTCTGTCCGTAAGACTTTTGTGTCTGAATACAAACATCCGGATAACCTTTTCCGTAATTAAACCGGACAAAGCCCCTAGTAACAGGACCGGACTTGTCACGGACAGGGTCGCTGCTTCAGACTGGTGGGATCAAGTTTCGGACAGGGAGGAGGGGGGGGAGGAGGGGACCAGGGGACGCTGTGCGCACCTAGATAGCTCGCTCCTGTAGCATGCGGCGAACCATGGCAGCTCGCCTCCTACGGTACCGTCTCCTAGACGCGACGGAGCACTTCACACTGCTTCCGTGATTCCTTTATTAACAATTGAGCTTCATCATCCAGGTCTCTTATGCATCCTCGTGTGCGCAGAATTATGCTTAACATAAGTCCGATCAGTGAGAGGAGCTCTATCTCTTCGTCTGCCATGTTTGACTGAATAGCTTTGTTTGGGTAAATGATGCATGTACGCCCGCCGTTAAAAACCGGACTGAATTGTCCACACATATCCCAGAATGTCATTCTGAAAAGGGCTTGAGTAACACACACACACACACACACACACACACACAAAGACAGAGCTTTCAGGCTTGAGCTGCACCGCAGGAGGACAGAGACAGCAGTCTGGATGCAATATCAGAGTCAGTCTCTGAAAGCAACACTGCTTACTGCATTTGTTTAATTTAAGGGCGACACCGCAGACTTCCCTGTGCACCTTTTGCCCCACCGATGTCCTGGGAAATGTGCTCATGACATCTCCGATACCTTCACGCCAATTTTGAAGACCGGCCATATGCTCCGTCACGTCCGCATTCCTAAGGATGTGTGGAAGGATGGGGCGGGCTGGGACCGACTGCGCGGAGGGGAGCCGGCTCTAATGTCCTAGTTTCCATATGACAGTGAAACTCTAAAATTGTTAATCAGCTGATGTTTCAAAGTAAATCCGTGTTTTATTTACATTTGGCACTTTTGGAAGAAGGTGTGCATTCTCCTAAAGTTTCTTAATGCTGTGGCTTTTGTGCCTCTCAGGGACCCGTATCTGATCGCTCTGCGCTCTGTCACTTTGCCCACTCACCCTCCCACGGAAGACTACACCAGGGGAGAGGTTCTCTGCGCAGGCTTCACTATCTGTGAGGAGTTCTCTGCTGTCACCAAGGTTGTTCAGGCCAGATTAGGTTAATCCAACACTGGCTAATCTGCATCTTTAACCTGTGTGTTTTCGGTTTCAGCTCACCTACTACAACCAGGCCACACCAGGCGTCCTGCCCTACATCTCCACAGACATTGCTGGCCTTTCCTCCAGCTTCTACAGCATATTTTCTGCCTGCAGCAAGTTCCTGGAGGCTAACACAGACGGCGTCTGTGCTCAGCCGCCCTCTTCGTTTTAGCACAAGAAGTCCCATTAAGAGAATTGAGGAGCATCATCATCTCACTGTTTCAATTCTGCTATGGAGGTGCTGGGTTCTGTGATGAAAGCAGCTGGGCCTCATGGAGATGAAAGCAGTTGTGGACTTGTTATTTCTGCATATTTAACAGAAGGAATTAGTTCTGAAAATGAACAAAGGATTTTATGCCAGGTTTTATTGTAGCCAGAATGTTATGAAAACTTGTTTTTTGTTTAGATTTATTGATAAAGAGCACATGGTTGTAAATATGTAGCACAGATTCAGGACTGACGGCCATGTTTGTTAATGTCATGCCAGTTTAACTGATTTTAAAATGTTTTAAACTAAAATATCTGAGTCATCTTAATGCATTTTAACTTATTTAAATAAATTAATTGGTTTATCTGCACATTTAGTGTTGGATGAACACGTGTATTGTAAAGAAAGTGTATAGTTTTGCAGAAATGCACTCAAATTGATTTTACAGTGTTAGATGTGGCAGATGAATGATTTAACCTGCAGAATAAACAGTCATCATGCTGAGGATTGTATTCACTCTTGTTTGTGTGTGCACCCCCCCCCCCCACCACCACCACCACCACCACCACCACTTTGCATTCTTGACTTAACCGTTTTTGCGAAAGCAAAATAGTCTGAAGTTGTATTCTGCTTTGCGATTGTTGCAATTTCAGAAATGTAGGTTGAAATTGTCGCACTCTGTTTTGCTTAACTTTTTTCACAAATGCAGAAAAAATAAAAATGTGACCAAAAAAATAAAACACCTTCTGAAATCTTTTAATCCTCAGTATAATGTGAGCAATGGCAGAAACACTGTACTTACAAAAACCAAACCTGTTCAAAACAATCCAGCAAAACAAGTCTTAATACGAAGCAGCCCCCTACATAAATCCAGTCAGCATATCACCTTCCAGTAAAAATACATAAAGTGCTGACACTTGACTCCCAGCAGGCCTCTATGCGTGTCGCCCCTGCTTAGTATTAATGGTCAGATTGATTTTGCAATATTTTATCTACAGATTAAAATGTTAATAAACATGAAAATAATGTTCAGTTAATGTTTCATTTTTTGGACTTGATATCTCATATCTGAATCCTCAAGAGAAAACTAAAGTGGTTCTTGCATCAGACTGAAAAAGATGTTTTGATGCTCCTGGTGATTTGGAACTCTGGGGAGTAAAGCATTTTCTTTTGGGTTTCTTCTAGTTGTGCTCACTCCTACTAGATTCTCCTGCTTTGTTAGGAAGACACTGACTTGTTGGATGAAGGTCCAAGCCACATAATGGGAACTTCTACGCGTTGTGTGCTCTTCAAAGACAAGAGGACAATTCAGAGCTGCACACCGATTTTAATATTCACATATTTTCCTCTTTACGCGGTGTTTGCTTTAACTTTTTTTTCGTTTTAACGGACGTTCAACAACTTAAAAAAACTCATTTTCAGGGTTTAACGTCTTGAAGTTCAGAAGTCTTCTTTTAACGAATGTTCAGTAAACACAACCAATCACGTGACCAAACCCGGAAGTAAGAAACTTAAAAACAAAGCGTAGCTCCTGACTGTGAAAAATCAATTAAAAGGAACGCAATAAGCTCAACACCGGGTCTGTTTTCCTCCATATTTATTGCGCCAGTATGAGCCAGGACCATATCAGCAAACTACAAACTGCAACAAGGGAAAAGCTCAGGAAATTCAACTCTCTGCGCGGTGAGTTAGGCTTCATGTCTCTGTGAATGTGCGCACTGGAGCTTAGTGAAACTAAAACCTTTTCTATTTCCTAAAGGTCGAGAGGTTCGTCCGGGGGAGTTTTGGGATGTGGTGGTTGTGACTGCTGTGGACGGGAGTCAGAAAGAAGCCTATGAGCTTCAAATCAGAGAGAAGGTGGCCAGAAGAGAGCTCCCCCTTGGAGCTCACTACTTGGTCGTCTCAGATCCTCCTGGATCCAAAATAGGTCTGTGAACCAGTCAGACGCGTCTGTAGGACATGGATGAATCTCATTTAACTTCTTGTTTTCTTTTTAAGGAAATGGAGGCTCCACCCTGTGTGCTGTGAAACAACTGAATGAAATCTATGGAAAAGCTTTGAGCGAGCTGAGAATAGTCCTGATTCATGCAGGTTCACATCCATCTTTCCATTTTAATTTCTTATTCATGTTTTGAATGTCTTAAACAGATTTACGCCAAACAATTTTTCTAAATGTTTTTGATTATTTGGGAAATTATCCCCGAGATATTATTTATATTTTATATTAGTTCAGTGTTTAGACCATTGTCCTGTCCCAGTCCGTTATATGGTTTTCCCTTGTGCAGCGGTCTGTTACGGCTGATTTCTTTACTGTACTTTCTGCTTCTTGTTTTGCTGCTCTTTGGTGTCTTTGGTTTGTTTCTTTCTCACACTCCTTTCTGTGTTCATTTGTTTGTGTGTTGAGGTGGCGTCTGGTTTCTTTTATATATTTTTTATTGCAGAGTTTGCCATATCATATAAAAACTAGGGATGCACGATCAGGTTTTTTGCTGCCGATCACTGATACCGATATCAAAGAATGCTGATCACCGATACCGATCACATTAATTGGCCAGAAATTGTCTACAACATTATAATGAGTGCTACAAACTACATAATCTGGGAATAAAGGAAATGTAACCTAATCTAAAATGGTCTGTATTAGGGTTGTCACGGTGTGAAAATTTAACCTCACGGTTATTGTGACCAAAATTACCACGGTTTTTGGTATTATCGCGGTATTTTTTTTAAACGTGCTACATTTTCACACAATTAAATGAACCCTGTATGTCAGGACATATTGTCCTCAGTTTGTGTCTAAATTTGCTTAAAATGTGTTATTTTGTAATTATGTTGTTTATTTGTTTACATTTTTTCCCTTTAGTCTTTAAAATACCAATATTTGCCCATAACTTCTTATTTTATGTCTGTTTGATGTCATCATTTTAAAAATATTAGAGCAGATGATACGCAGTACTCAAGTAGCCTTCTAATCAGATACTTTTTTACCCTTACTTGAGTAATAAACCCTATATCAGGAAAATATTGTCCTCGGTTTGTGTCCTTCCAGTGAGCTTTGCAGATGTGGGAAAATGTCATCAGGCAGTAATCATTGTTAAATTCATAATTATTCTCGGAGAGAGACCAACTCTTATCTGCCCCTGGGAGCCCCGTAATGCATAGCGTCATTTCAACATGGGGGTGTCCGCGACACGGTTTATATGCAGGTAGCGGCGCTGCGGCTGCTTTATATAGTGACTCGTTGCGTTCTCCCTCAACCCAAATCCTCGGATCACGCATTTTAGCTAAAACGCTAACGTTAGCTTGCCTTGCGTTGACTGTAGAGTTGTGGGTGATGGTCACGCAGATGTGTCATGAGATTTGAAGTGTTGCTGCCTTTCACAGACACTTTTTCTGCACGTGCTGCAAACAGGATAGCCGTCTTCTATCAACTGTCCCTCGGCATTCTTCAAATATCCAAAAGATGCCCGTACTTCCGACTTTGTCTTCTTTGAGGGATAAAAAAGTCCTCCTGAGCACTGCTGTCTCCTCCTTTGGCCATTATTTCAGCTTTAGCTTCAAGAAAGTTTTGGTTGTAAACAGCAAAGCGTGCATGTGCCGCCGGCAACTTCAGCAGATGATACGGTGGCTGGTAAGGGTCACCGTGCCTACACCGCAGCCACGGTAAACCCACCGAGATAATATTGTTTTTTTTTTAAACAAGACGGTTATTATTATTGTCAACTTTTTTTTACCGGGGTTTACCGCTACACCGGTTACCGTGACAACCCTACCTGATCGGTCTGCTTTGATCTATTTTGAAAACTCCGATCAAAACCGATAGGGGCGCTATCGGCTGATTGGGATCAAATGCCGATCCATCGGTGCGTCCCTAATAAAAAAAATATAATGGACTGGGAAACCATTAATGGACTTGGTCAAAAACATGGATCATAAACACTGAACAACAAAACTTTACCTCTGATCTGTCATATTTTGGCATTTTGTGAGAGAGGAGATAAAGTTGAAGAGTTTGATGGGTAATATGTGTATGTTATGTAAAGGTTAGGTCACTAAGGACTCTTGAGTAAAAACCGATACCAATATTTTCCGATATTAAATTTTAAGGCCAATATCGTCTGATAATATTGGTAGACCGATAATATTAGACATGCCTGAATGTGAGAAATGCAGGTTTAACACGTCATAAGCTTAGAAATGCGCATGTCCCAACCCACTTTAGCATCAGCAATATATAGACGTTGGTGGCAGAAATGCTAGCTACAGAACACTAGGCCGAGCTAATGCTAGTTTGCTAAGAAGAAAGTTGGAGCTTCACTCACATTCCACTGGGAATATTCAGATTATAAATGAATGCCATATAGTTTCATAGCTCGTGTTCCTGATCTCTTCATCCCTTGCTCGTCCAAACGCCCACACTGCATCGTATTTGGCCATTTATCAGGACTCCTGGGTTATTGTGAGCCCCAACAAAGTTTCTATATGCTATATTAACCTCTTTCATAAAACTAAAGCTGCCAGTTTGCTTCAAAGCTGAGGCAGCACCAGGGAGCCTACGGTTCACAGGTGGTCATGCTGTGGCGGGAAAGTGGCGTGATGATGTGCTTTTCACAAAAGGTTACTGGATTTTGGTTTAAAGGAGGTGTGGGGGCGGTCTCTGAGCTGTCACGGACTTCCTTTTAGCTTGGACATAACTTGCTTTTTATTACAATTGAAGTCAGCTGAACGGGTTTTAGGAGCTTGGCGTTAATTCCACTCGTGATCAAGATACCCTCTGTTGCACCAAGCCGTAATCTTCACTCACAAGTCTGTCGGTGAAGCAATATTATTACCAAGCTTACGTGTTTTGGTTCTTATTGTCACAGAGTACTAAAAACTTTGTTTTTACCTTTCTGGCTGACACTTGGCTCCAGTGGGAAAAATGGAAGCAGAAAAGCAACACTGACTGAACTCGACAAAGAAACTACCAACAAGCTTGGTGGCATGAAGGCAGCAAATTAGCCACATTGCCTTTCGTAAGACACACCATGGCGGCAGTATTACGCTGATTTGCCACCATGGTGTGTCTTATGAAATCGACTACTGAGGTTCGAAGAACAGTTTCCAGTTGTAAAAAAAGTTCTTTGTTGGAACTTCAATATGAATCTGAATCAATTAACTTGTTAACAGGTAAGAAGGAATTATAGAACAGTATTTAAATTGATTTAAGAATAATCATGCATATCCATTCCTGAACAAGGTTCAAATTATACAGCTGTTAAAAATAAGAAATTCATCGATAAAACCAAAGTTTAAGCAGACATGAAGGGCATATTTTGAACCTGTTCATTTTTCATTTGAATTATTTTTATTAAAAAGTAAGAGCTGCAGAATTACAAATCACAAGAACTGTTCCGGTTCTACGGGTAACGTTCTGTGCTACATGGAGCATTTTGTTGTTATCCAGGTGGGTTCAGTCAGCGGCTTCCCAGTGCCAGCGCTCTGGGAAAGATCTTCATGGCTCTACCGCTGGGTGAGCCCATCTACCAGATGTTGGAGCTCAAACTAGCCATGTACGTGGATTTCCCCTCGCAGATGAAACCTGGCATCCTGGTGACCTGTGCGGATGACATTGAGCTCTACAGTATTGGCAAGGAAGAGCGAGTGAGGTTTGATAAGCCTGGTTTTACAGCTTTAGCCCATCCCTCCTCCCTTTCAGTGGGAACAACCCATGGGGTGTTTGTCTTGGATCCGCGTGAAAAGTGTTCCTACCTGGAAATGGAGAACACTTCCTGTCTGTGCTTTCTGCACAAGCCGAGCGTCAGTAAGATGAGAGGCAGCGGGGCTGTTTGTAAGCAGCAGAGTGGATTGTTTTCTGTGTCTGATAGTGAGTTTGTTTACACCGACAGCACCTATTATGTAGACTTTGACACTGCAGAGTCTCTTCTGAACCTGCTGACTGAGTTGGGGCCCTTGAGCTGTGAGATTGATGCTTATGGAGACTTTCTTCAAGCTTTAGGCCCCAAAGCCACAGTAGAGTACACCAACAACACCACTAATGTCACCAAAGAGGAGAGCAATCTGGTAGAAATCCGACAAAAGATATTCCACCTTCTCAGAGGAACTCCTCTGAATGTGATCCTCCTGAACAACTCCAAGTTCTATCACGTAGGAACCACCTCTGAGTACCTGTTTCACCTGACTGAGGACGAGGTGCTGAGGACTGAGCTCGGTCTCCTGTCGTCTGCCTTCAGTGTGAACATGAGTGAAGACTCCTCTGGCTCCTGCATCATGTACAGCATCCTCGATCCCAGCTGCTCCGTGGGAGCCGGATCAGTGGTGGAGTACTCCAGACTGGGAGCGGGTGTGTCTGTAGGTGGGGGCTCCATCATCAGCAGCTGCTGGATCGGGCCGGGTGAGTCCGTGCCAGCTGGAGTCTTCATGCACTCTGTGTGTGTGAACCACCAGGAGCAAACTGGGTTTGTTACCATCTTCTTTGGGATTAAAGACAACTTGAAGCACAGTGTGCATGCTCCTGCATTTATGGAGGAGCTGAGGTTTTTCGGATTCACTTTGTCAAAGTGTCTCTCCTTCTGGGAGATGGATAACGAGTCCCTGAGGTTCTCTGGTGGCAGCTGTAGTTTGTGGAATGTTTGTATGTTTCCTGTTTGTTGTGACCAGCGAAGCTCCTTCTCCGTGTCTCTGAAGATGCTGCAGGCCATCCTGGGGGGCTCCACAAGCCTCCCACCCGAAAATACAAAGTTTATGTCGATGCAGGAGTGTTTAGAGAGTAAGAACCTGGACGAGATGTTGGAGCTCAGAAGGAGACTGCGTGATGACATCACTCAAATGAAGCTAAATATTTAAAGCTGGAGTATATAGTTCAAAAATTTGAAAGTAACTTAAAATGATGCTTAAATGTGACGATCTGAGCCTGTTCTATGACGTGAAGTAGGTAATCTTTCATAATTTATATTTCCCCTACACCCCTCCCCTGGCCTCTACAGCAAAACAAATCCTGTATGTGAGCCTAGAGCGCTGACCAGTCAAGTTCCATCAGAAGGAGCTATCAATCACAATAATGTGCTCCAGTTCCCAGCATGCACATGGATGTGCCTCAGTCATCTTAGCCTAACTAACTCCATTTCAGCAGTTAGAATCAGGTGTATCTGAGCAGGAACACATTGAAAACATGCAGCCCTCCAGTAGCGCTACAAGGCCATTTGTGTTTGCGTGCAGGGTATGAGGCGTGGCTTTCAGCTCCTCAGAAGGGGAAGGAGAACCGGAGCGGGAGCTATTGCTTCTCCTCCTCCCCTTGGTGACGCCACCTTATGGACCACAGATTAAAAACAGCCATGTTTGTGGGTATTCACACGTGGGAGTTCAGTTACCCAGACCTGCTAAAATGTTTGTTCTCTGTATGAAAAACTGGTTTAATGTTAAGGTTTTGTTGGGATAATATTAATAAAGAACAGTTTGGAAATCAGATCAGTGGTTGTTCTTTTCCAATGTCGAAAACATCATGTTTTATTTCTTTTTGGGAAATCTTCAAATATATTGTATCACACTCTGCTGCTGCACGGTTTGTTACTGTCAGTCTGCAGTGTTTACTTGTAGCACTTGACATTCTCTGTGTAAAACTGGTCCGCTAGCCTGGCAAGAACAAAGTCTGTGGTGTTTTAGAACCCTAGTCTATGATTGTATCTGGGGTTCTTTAGAGAACGATAACTCTGGACCCTGTGGTTCTTATTTTAGCAGAAATTTGAACCAGAGGAAGACTTGTGCAGATGTTTCTCTTTAGCTCATTCAAGTTATCTAGGATTTTATATTTTAATAATCAATAAGGACTTTTTCAGCTTTAGGAGACTACACTTTAGGCTTAAAACGTGTCTCCCTTGCCTCTATGTCTTGCCCTGTGATGGATTGGTGACCTGTCCGGTGTATCCCCTGCCTCTCTCTCAGTGAGTGCTGGAATAGGCACCAGCTTCCCACAACTCTACTCAGGATTAAGAGTTCAGAAAAGGAAGACATGATTGTGTACTTTAATACTGCAGTCATATTTATTTATCGATATTGTCGGTTAATTCACATTTTGTCATATTTTTAAAAAAAGTACTCTCTCTCTCTCTCTCTCTCTCTCTCTCTCTCTCTCTCTCTCTCTGTGTGTGTGTGTGTGTATACACTGCATATTTATCTGCACACCATCATGGTGTTTTGTAAATGATAAAACAAGTAATTACAACTACAGTATAAGAAAATAAGGATGGGTGATGCATCATTGTAAGAACTATGTGAAAAAAGATGGTTCAACACCCAGGAAGGTTTCGGGGGGGATCATTACTTCTTGCTACATTGGATTTCATAGAACAATAATACTATATATAACATGTATGTATGTATTCTAACAATAAATGAAAACAAAGAAAACAATCCACTCCGATGATTTTCATGCTCAAGATATATTTTATTCAGAAGAACAGCATTCACAGGTAGCAGCAGTATAATTGTTCCCTCAAGGATGTAATTAAATTATTTTCTCCACTCCAAACATTTTGACACCAGAGTGCTTGCTTTACCTACAGAACATGGTAAGCTTTGCTCAGTATTGACCAGCATCCCATCAGAATGTGTGCTTCTCTAAGCTCTAGATCTGTTGATGAACCCACTTCTGATGGTTCTACTTCTGCTTCTGCCCGGGCCATTTCCACCACTGTCCACCTGGATGGGGCTGGAGATGGAGCGTGCTCCACTAATGGCTTTGCTGCAACAACCCTGGGACCCGTGTACAAGTCTTTTCCTTAGACAACTGACATAATCTTGTCTAATTTTGTCTTTACAACAACGGAAAATTGGTCTTTTCAGAATACTGGGGCAAGGAAAACAACGTAAAGTAAACCTTAAGTGAATGTGCTGTACACACTAAAATGCAGCAAAGAATTTACAGACTGTGTGTCATTTCACACCCTTCCCTGATGTGTTTCATATAAACAGTTGGCCTTTCTGGGTTGAAGTGAAGTAAATGTGTATTTATTGGTGTGTACGTTTGAGTTTAATCTCAGTTTTTGAAATATTTAACTGCCTTTAAGCTATGCACATGGACATATGTTCTTAACATGCTTCCAGTGATTACATTCTTCCTGTCGTATTAAAATCACTGATCATTTGCATAAGTTTCATATACTTTTCAACACTGTCATGATTAAATGATAAATGACCCACACTTGTATAGCGCCTCTCAGAGTAAGGACTCCAAAGCGCTTTACACTACAGTGTATCATTCATCCATTCACACACACATTCATACACCGGTGGAGATGAGAGGCGAGGCTGCCGAGCACAGGCGCCACCGGACCCTCCGACCACCACCAGCAGGCAAGGTGGGTTAAGTGTCTTGCCCAAGGACACAACAGCAGAATTCTCTGTCAGGAGCCGGGATCGAACCTGCAACCTTCCGATTACTGGACAACCCGCTCAACCTCCTGAGCTGCTGCTGCCCACAAGCACACCAACCGGACCTCTTTTGTGATGTGCAGCTTAATGTTGAAGGATCGCCGTGATACAGTTAGTTTTTGGAGGTTAACGGATTCTCCGTTTATTCTGAGGAGCTCAGTAAACAGAAACTCAAAACAAACTACTTCAGAGGCTGGGTAGGTCTCTGGAGGGACAAACGGTTTATAAATACACGAGGAACCTTTACACATCTGACATACCTGATGAGCTCTGTAAACACAAAGCGAACAACTTCAAAGGCTGCCAGCTCTAATTACAGAACACATTTTGTCTGATTATATAAAAAGAAACTGATTTAACTCGGTTACAAAGGCATACAAGTCATTAGATGGCTGCAGGTCGCTCATGTCAGGAGATGTGAGGCAGATACTTTACTTTGTTGTTCTGTCATGAGACTCTTGGTGGTTGTTAACCATTGCTTTTGTTTTATCTGCTGTAATCCTGTAAAATTTTACATTACGGTCCTTTCATCTATTTGTGCAGCCTACAACGCTGCATGTGCTAACGCAGATATTTAATTCAGTTTATTGATAACTGACAGATAATAACAGTGGACAGATGGGGTGTGCTGTCTTTTTGTAGCCTGGCAAGCCAGACTAAATAAATGTATTATTTAGTCTGGCCATGCTTCATTGACGGTTCTCGGTTGTGGGGCGGGTTCTACCGTTGTCTTTCAAATGATCTCCGCATTCCACTGGACAATGAACGTGACATACTCTTGTTTCACTCTGTTGCATCATCCCACCCACCAGGCATATAGAGTGCTCTGATTGGCCCACAAAGCGGATAAAGCTCTGTGATTTGTTCGCCTTGGGCTTCCTGACAGGGTTGCGGAAGGCGCTTTATAAATAAAGCTTTGATTGATTGGTTAAGCAGATAGAGCACTATGATTGGCCCACCATTATGAACCAATCACAGCTCTTTATGTGTTTGAAACCCCCTCTAGAGAGCTGTGATTGGCTAGCCAGAGTCCTGGTAGGAGCTTCGGAGGTTCCAATGGAGCATGCCTAGACAACTTTGCAAAGCAAGAATTTGGTCTAGTTCACTAGGCTAGTCTTTTTGCTCGCCGATCAGAAGCTGGGGGGTGGGGTTTGGGTGCATTACGTCATGCATCAAGGGGTAGAAAGCTTAGTATTTGAATGAAATAAACACAGCCATATGTGTACTGATGTGTTTACATATAACTACTCAAATCTGACAATTTGCATCTGTTGTAGCTTCACCAGAACACCAAAACAGATGTTGGTTTCCTTTGACTTTTCTTTTATTCTGCATAAAAGAGTTAAACGAGTTCTGTGAAAAACAATGTAAATCCGCATATTTAGGGATGATCAATCAGAGGAGGACCGTGTTCTAGGTTGGGACACTTCTCACCCTCTTTGTTTTGGGCCATTCACACTCACAGCAGAGGGAGATCAGCTGTCAGAGCTGCAACACATTCCACTCTGAGGTGTTTATTTTTAGCTCACAGCCATGATCTCCCTTTTATCTGGACCTGTGCAATTGTGGCTGAGTGTGAGATTGTATTCCTACCAACTACAGAACTAGAATTCAGAGGAGGAATCCTTCAATGGGAAATTACAAATCAAGACCATCTCAGACTTGCACTGGTAATGTATCTAATACATTAAAATTCTGTTTTAATACAAGCCTGTTAAAATACATTTCTTCCACAGAAATCAGGATCAGTGTTGCTTTTTTTGTTTATAGCTTGGCTCTGTTTATTGTAAAGAAAACAATAATAATAAAATCTAGAATATCACCTGTTATTTGATAAATGATGATGATGAAACAGACTGTTGTATCTGACTGTGGTAACTTGAAGATGAGTGGAAGAAGAAGGTGGGCGAGTCATACTCTGTGATCATTGAGAGGCTGGACAATGACTTCCAGCTTCCAGAGAGTGCGTTGGCGGACCTTAACCTCGCTTTCAGGTAACAAACATCTACATTTTTCACAAACAGTTTATTGTACAAACTGCATTACGTCTTCTGCAAATGTATTAGTTCAACTGTCTGAATAGATGAGCTATTTTCACACATTTTGGTTTTTGCCGTTTCAGCTCGGATGAGGCTTTTAAGAAGGTGAATGTGAATTACCGAACAGAGAAGGGGCTGTCGCTGCTGCACCTCTGCTGTGTGTGTGGAGGTATGCATGACTACCGGAGTCTATTAATAACTCCTCTGCAAAATGTGACAGTGGAGGGAAGGATCACTGTAGTGCTGACTGATATTATTGTTTGCAAGTGACCTTTCTGGTGTCAGGCACGGTGGAGCAAACATAAAAAGATTAAATGTGTTGCATCCTTCTTTCCTATAAGCTTCATTAAAAGTCGGCGTTCTGCATTTCTGGGTGAACATGTTTGGTTTTAGGAACCAAGGCCCACATGCACACCTTGATGCTAAAGGGTCTGCGTCCTTCTAGACTGAGCAGAAATGGTTTCACTGCGCTCCAGTTGGCTGCTTACAAGGTGATGTTTCTTTAATTGGGTTGTGTTTAAGAGCTTTTTAAAGATTTACCACAGGGTGGAGTGCAAGTACACACAACTCGTGGCTGAAGACGAGGTTTACACGAGGTGTATCTGTTGTGTTTTCACACTACAGGACAACACAGAGCTGCTGACCGCTCTCCTCCACGGTGGGTCAGACGTGCAGCAGGTGGGATACGGGGCTCTCACAGCCCTTCATGTTGCTACCCTGGCTGGGCATCAAGAGGTGAGAGAAAAGAATCACCTGCTTTGGACTGAACTCAATTTAAATTGTTGTTTCTCCTCACCAGGCTGCAGATATACTCCTGCAACATGGAGCATCTGTAAATGTTCAGGATGCTGTGTTTTTCACTCCACTGCACATCGCCTCCTACTATGGCCATGAACAGGTATAATTTTAGTGTAAATCAACACTTATCTAATAGAAATGAACTCTTATGAATAATGTTTTTTTATGTGTTTCTGTTGCTTTTTATTGTGCAGGTGGTGAAGCTTCTGCTGAAGTTTGGAGCAGATGTGAATGCAAGTGGTGAGGTTGGAGACAGACCGCTGCACCTGGCAGCTGCCAAAGGTTTTCTTGGTGTCATCAAACTGCTGTTAAGTGATGGAAGCAGAGCTAATGGTGAAAATATTTTTAAAAAGTTAAAAAATGCTTGAGATAATAGAGGGATTGTTCATTTTTTCCTCCAATATTCCTCTCTTCTCACCAGTAAACGCCCAGGACAATGAAGATCACGCCCCTCTTCACTTCTGTGCCCGTTTTGGTCACCATGAGATCATCCAGTTTCTTCTCCAAGGAAAGTTCGAGGTTCAGCCTCATTCTGTGAACATCTACGGAGACACGCCGTTACACCTGTAAATGATTTTGTTGTCTCGGATGGTCTCTTCTGTACGTTTTCGGATGACTTCAACGCTTGAATGTTGTGTTTCATCAGGGCGTGCTATAATGGTAAGTTTGCTGCAGTGAAGGAGATAATACAGCTGTCTGGTACAGAGAGTCTTTCAAAGGAGAACATATTCAGTGAGACAGCGCTCCAGAGGTAAAGTCAAACCCAGATTATTTATTTGAAGTATCTGGAGGCACAATCCCTGAAGAATCTACGTATATTGTCCCAGCGCGTGCACTTACGGTAAAGACATGGAGATGGTGAAATTCTTGCTGAGCCTAAACGCCATGAGTATCAACTATCAGGGCAGAGATGGACACACAGGTGGCTATTTGCATTAAAACGGTCTCTGCGTGATAAAACCAAAACTAAGTTCACATTTATTTTAAAGCTCTACACAGTGCGTGTTTCCATGGCCACATCCGCCTGGTGCAGTTCCTGCTGGACAGTGGTGCAGACATGAACCTTGTTGCCTGTGACCCCAGCAGGTCCAGCGGGGAGAAAGAGGAGCAAACCTGTCTGATGTGGGCCTATGAGAAAGGTGTGTTAGTGCAAACACGAGTGCATGAGATCAACTAGAGTCCAGTTCTCACATTGTGTTTCACAGGTCACGATGCCATCGTCACTTTACTGAAACACTACAAGCGTCCTGATGATTCTCCATGCAATGAGTACTCTCAGCCAGGAGGGGGTGAGTTCCCACCTGAGAATTCACCACATTTAATGAAAAACCCATAATGAGATTTCTGATTATGATGCTTTTCTTTCAGATGGGTCCTATGTTTCCGTTCCGTCTCCTCTTGGAAAGATCAAAAGCATGACTAAAGGTAGTGGGGTGCAACAGATTTCCCACATCCCTGTCAGCTGGCATGTCTGCACACACTCAGTCTGTTGCCAAGGGAATGGGTTTAGGTGCTGATCAGGATGCTGTGCTGCTCCTGAGAAACTGTTGGCTTTGTGGATTATGGGCCAATCTTTAGTTTAGTACTAGAAAATCTGGTCTAGTCAGAAATTTATACTCATGAGGGCACAAAAGTCATAATAATTTTAGGCTTTTATTTGTTGATTTGAACCAATCTTTTTCCTGGGTTAATGATCTTAAAAAAAAGTGATTAAGATTAAAGTCCCATAGTTGTCACACACATTGGTGTGTGTGGTGAAATTTGTTCACCGCATTTGACCCATCCCCTGGGGGAGCGGTGAGCTGCAGACACAGCACCCCTAAATCCAACCCCTTAATGCGGCGTGTCAAGCAGGGAGGCATCGGGTCCCATTTTTAAGAAGGTCTTTGGAATGACCCGACCCTGATTTTGTTGGACAGTTTCCCTGTTTTATTGTTTTATCTGTGCTTTCAGTGTTTTCAACATTTCTGTTTGTATGTTTCAATTTAGCTGTTTTACCTATGCTTTTAGTGTTTTTAACCTTTGTTTTATTGTTTTTAGTTTGTTGAATTCGCCTGTGCAGCACTTAGGACTGCTCTGTTGCTGGGCTTGAAATGTGCTATACAAATTAAATGGTATGATATGGTTTTGAACCCACGATCTCCCAGTCAGGGGCGGACAACCTAACCCTAACACTAGGCCACTGAGCTGGGTACAAACAATTTTAGTGATAAATAAAAACAGTGCACAGTTTTAACCAAAACAGAGTCAACATTTCGTAACAGAAAATATAAATCCTTCTGTCTTTTCATTAGAGGTGCTAAAGGTTCTCGAATGTCTTTTATCTTCTTTTTAGGGATCATGATTGACTGTAGCTTGTAGCTTCCTCTCACTCGCATCAAAATGATTTATTTGACAGCATTAATTGGGCTGATCAGTACTCTGCCTCACATAATGGAAACCAGTTTGAACCATGGTACTGGAGCTGGAATAACAAAGTAGGACTATCTTCAGTTGAACACAGTTAGGTGTAACCCTAAAACTTAAAAGCTGAGTTTGTGTCCAGAAAACAACACATTTGCATAAAGTCTATCGATCTAGTCAAGAAGAGTGGTCCAACATCAGCCAGAATGATACAAGAAGCTTTTGTTTGATCGAAGTTCAGCTTGATTAAGAACATTTAAATACATATTAGTGTTTTAACACTTTAGGGAAGGGGGAACATCTTTAAAAAATAAAACATGCAGACCTAATTTTGGCTTTTTAACTGCCTATGTGGACATTGGCTCCTCTTATTCTTCTCAACTCAAACCTTTTTGTTATTTTTTACAGACACTTGATATTGACCTTAAGTTTCATTTTTTTTCTTTCGTTTTTGGGTGGGTATATTCGGCAACATTTTTATTTAATTTAATTGTTTGATTTAATGTTTTTTCTTTTAAATCACATCAAATACAAGTTTGGGTCTCAGGAGGTAAAGCTGCTATTGTTTAACCGTAAATTATTGAACTCAGTCATTAAAAGCCTTGGAATAATGTCCATGAAGAGTTTCGTTCAACTTCTGACCACACCTAAAACCATCTTCAAAGCAGTGACTAGTTCTCTTGCTAATTCTTTGCTCTAACTATTCTCGAAAATATTTTAATTTGTATAAAAGGTGTGTGATTTATTAGTGCTGTGCTACATAATGGACATTATCTGATTTCAAAGCCTTTACACAATTTGTTCATGAAATGTGCTTGTTGCATATTACCTGAGACCGTAGCAGTGAATTAAAAAAGCTGAATATTGTCTTCCTGTGCATTTCCAGTTAGAGGTATTGACACATTAAACTGTGTTTTCAGAGAAAGCAGAAGTTCTGGTGCTCAGGGCCAGCCTTCCATCCCATTTCCACCTTCAGCTGTCTGAGCTGGAGTTTAATGAAATTATCGGTTCTGGTAGGTCCACTCCTCTTTGTTTTCCCCATTCTGCTGATGTGCTAGCAAATCTGATAATATTATTGATGAGCGTATGCGTTACACACACAGGCTCCTTTGGGAGAGTCTACAGAGGCAAGTGCAGAAACAAAATTGTGGCCATAAAACGGTATTTCTTCCCCACAGAAACAAAGAAGTGATCAAGTATCCCTGCCCTGCTGGCAGAAACAGAAAAATGATCAGTTGTTTCGATTTTCTCTCCTCTGCAGCTATCGAGCCAACACGTACTGCTCCAAGTCAGATGTGGATATGTTTTGCAGAGAAGTTTCCATCCTCTGTCGTCTCAATCACCCCTGTATCATCCAGTTTGTAGGGGCATGCCTGGATGACCCCAGTCAGTTTGCCATCGTCACCCAGTACATCTCAGGAGGTTCTCTGTTCTCTCTGCTGCACGAGCAGAAGAGGTGAGATACCAACACCTAAATACTGCCAGGTTTAATCATCAGAGCTTAACTCCTCATGGACTTACCAGACACGGTTAGATGGCCAGGGGGAAAAAAAGCTACAAACAGAAAAAAAGTTAAAAGAAAATCTTTTGTTTTCTTAACCATTACAGTGATCCCTCGCTACTTCGTGGTTCGTTTATCGCGGATTCACGACTTCGCGGATTTTTTCTTTGGAGCCTTATTCAAGGGAAATTCGCCGATTTGCGGTATTTTTCACCGATTCGCGTTATTTTTCTATGCGAAATATCAAGAAATTCCAGTTTTTTTCCATCAATTTCATCATAAAATGCACTTTTTGTAATAAAACTAAAAAAACCAAGTAAATTTTTTTTTTCTTGAGTTTTACCCACAAAAAGAGAATGTGATCATACGATAATTCAATGTAGTACTGTACTGTAAATATGGTGTCCCTACTTCGCGGATTTTCACCTATCGCGGCCAGGTCTGGAACTTAGATGGCCAGGGGGAAAAAAAGCTACAAACAGAAAAAAAGTTAAAAGAAAATCTTTTGTTTTCTTAACCATTACAGTGATCCCTCGCTACTTCGCGGTTCGTTTATCACGGATTCACGACTTCGCGGATTTTTTCTTTGGAGCCTTATTCAAGGGAAATTCGCTGATTCGCGGTATTTTTCACCGATTCGCGTTATTTTTCTATGCGAAATATCAATAAATTCCTGTTTTTTTCATCAATTTCATCATAAAATGCACTTTTTGTAATAAAACTAAAAAAACCAAGTAAAAATTTTTTTTCTTGAGTTTTACCCACAAAAAGAGAATGTGATCATACGATAATTCAATATAGTACTGTACTGTAAATATGGTGTCCCTACTTCGCGGATTTTCACCTATCGCGGCCAGGTCTGGAACGCATCTACCGCGATAAACGAGGGATCATTGTACTTGTCGTAAGGGTCGCAGGGAGCTGGTGCCAATTTGACAAATACGTATGTTTTGGTTTGTGAAGAAAACAACCACATGTGCATGGGGAGAAAAAACACATCTCAGTAAGGCTTCAGCCAACTTTTAAACCATGGATGTAATTTTTGGAAGGGGGGGGGGGTGACATGTCCCCCCCACTTTTTCCAAAGTCAAGTTTTGACCCCTGCACTTTCTACCATCAAAAAACAATATTACGCTATATTAAATAGACACTGGTTGAGCACTAGGACCAAGCAGAAAACAACCATTTGTGCTGAAGCCTGTTTCCCATTAGAACATACTGTAAAGACCCCCCCCCCCCCCCCCCCCCCCGGTCCTCATGCTGGTTGTGTCCCCCCAATTCTAAAGTCAAAGCTACGTCCATGTGTTCAACATTTGACCTTCTTGCTGCAAGACAGAAGCACTCCTAACTGCTCCACCGCACAGCCCAACTAAAGAAAAGACAAAAATTAAATCAAAGTAGAAATGGAAAACCACCATAATAAATAACAAATTATGTAAAGACCCACAAATAGTCATGAGAAAGAATCAAATAAATCAAAGATAAAAAAAAGTATGATAAATTCATTCTGAGTACATACAGTACACATCACACGTCACTCAGAAGTAACAATGAAAGGCTGAGAGAAAACAAAAATACAAACCCAAGAAAAAAAACTCAAACATTTATAAAACTAGATGTAAACCAATGCAAAAGCTGCACCAGTTGATGTTAGTTAGTAGGAAATGAAGGGATATCTGTTACATGCAAAATATCTTCAAAATGACACAAACAGATCGACTCAAAGCCACTGCAACCCTGCAAGTCAGTGTTAAGAGACACAAAAAGACCACAAAACACACAAATCTCATTTGCTGTCATTTATTCCTCTTTTCTCTTAAAGGAAGGTCAAGAACCTTCTGAAAGTTAGTTGTGGCACAGTCTGAAGTAAGCAGTTCAAACAGAAGGTATTTTGGTTAATGTCTCTTTTTAGATCCGTTTATTATCATCATCATGGAGTTATAATGTTTTATTATTTGATGCAACTCAATTACTCAAAGAAAAGTGACCTGTTATGGTAATAATTATATTCATATTCCTCCTTTTTATTAAGTGAAAATTATGAATGATTGTAGACACTGTTGCGACATCATTAATTATGAAATATGTCATTTTTGTTAGCCATTACTTCAACCAAGAAATAAGATGCCTGGATTTGATTAATGCCGTCCTATATGTGTAACACACACACACACACACACACACACACAGACTCACTGCGTTATTTTCAAATAATTTGAATTACTAATTTAACTTGAACTGCATTTGTAATAATTTAATCTCTTATTCTTGAGTAAAATAAAGAAACTGGCTAAATCATCACATCTATGGTATCAAGAAACAACTTCTGAGTTCATACACTCACAGGGATTGAGCATATACTGTTTACATCTTTAGCTCCAGTATTAAGTGTTGATCAGGCCCCCATAATTCTGGTTTGAAAATGATGAAGTAGCAAAAATTGCAGTTCCACCCTCATCCGCTAGGGGCTGGTGTCAGAAGAGAGCAAATCCTCATTGACTCCCATGTTAAAAATACCAATTTTACAGCAAAAATAAACATGTTTATAGCCTGGTTCAAAAAACATTTTAGATTTAATAGATCTAGTTTACATTCATGACAACTCTGAGGGGGGTGATTTTTTTGTAACTCTCCTGTTTAAGTGGAATTCAATGATTAAAGTTCTGAATAATTAATGAGCATTAGAGCCACATGACTTCAGAGCTAGCTCCAGGGAAAGGCCTCAGCGTGGGCTATGGTCTCACCTTAAAAGATGTTCAGCCGACTCTCTGAACATTGTTTTGTCTGTGTGTTCGTGTTTGGATTGGGGGGGATGCTGTGTCATTGAATTGTTTGGTCAAACATGTTATTGAGGCTGCATAAGAAACTTGAGCGGGTGCCCAGCTTCTCCTGTCCCCTGCCCGGGAACAGTTGTTGGAGCAGGCTGTTCCTGTTTTTCTGGCCAACAGGGATGGGCGGACAAAAGTCTGTAGTCATGCTGGTCACTTGTGGATTTCTGAGGGAGACCACAGAAACACGGCAACTCTTTTTGTTCATGCTGCTTCACTTTTGAGTCATTCAGAGTTTGCTGATTGAATCTATGTGTTTACACCGCTTGGTCTAAGATGGGTTGAAATATAATGTGTTGGTGTGGCTGCTGGGTAACGAGAGCTACATATCTGACCGAGGATAGCAGAGGCTATGAACCAGCGAAGCCTGATATCCTCAGTCAGCGTACCTAGCTAAGATTTTGTTACTAAGCAGATTGGAGGTGCCTCACTTTGTCTCTCTACTGCGTTTTTCTGGCTAAAACACCCGGAAAAACTCAGTCAGCTTCGGGTTAGCATGTAGCTAAAGTCCCACGATCTTCGACCATGGAGCATAAGCTGATGTAAAAGGCCACGGCACTCGGCTACGATTTCAGCGGTCTGAGGCTCTTGTAATTTAACAGTCCCAGTCCATATTAGATCGCCACAGGCGACCAGCATGACTACAGACTTGCACGGAAGCCAGTCGGCCAGAGCTCCTTCTTAGCTTCTTGGGTTAGCTAATTTAGCTAGTAGCCACATTAGTTCATTTGTTCCAACCGTAACAGCCCCACCCTCAGTTCCACCTCATTTCCCATTTTTTGATTGTCTGGGCATGACGATACGTGTGGCACGGTCAAAATGGCGGTGGGGGGGACCTCCCATTTAGAAACAAAGGGTGTTTCTCAATGTCAAGGTGTTTGGCCTTGTGAGGCAATGTCTTGCGAGGCCAGGTGCCTTGCTTACGAGGACACAGTTCTTCCTTGGTTATAGAAAACTGTTAAATGGAACAGACTTGCATCACGTAACCGCGGCTTCCACGGCGATCACGTAACGTCACGTGACACGGAAAGTAACATTATATTTTATATGTATAACTTTCAATAAAAATAAATAATGACCGTTTGAATTTTTAAATTGTGTATATATATTTGTCAAATTAAATATATAATGAAGTTACTACCCGCTAGCTGCCAAAGCTGCAACTGATATGCAACTGACCAACCACAGATAACTTTTTTGGATCTAAAAAAACTTTTTTAATTAGTTGACTTACTTTTAAACTTGAAAGTTGCCCCCAAAGTAGCTGCCGGCTTTTGATTCGCCATCCTTTTGAAAATACTGCTGTGCATTCTGGGTAATTTTTTTTACCAAGGCTAGGCTGCAAGACACCTCTCGTGTATCCTTACTCAGCTAGCTAAACGGCTAGCAAACGGAGAACACAAGCCTCGGTAGAACATGAACATTGGAACCCACCTTGGCAGTTCCTGATGACGTATCTCCTAGGCAACCGGGGGGGGGGGGGGGGGGGGGGCTAAGCAAGACATCAAGGCGAGGTTTCTTGGCATTGAGAAACACCCGAAATTTGAGCCTATAGACATTAAATGTCCAGTATATATGTCAATAGTGTTGAGTTGCACAAACAAAATGTTTAAACTCACAGAAGCTGCAGGTCTCCTGTTTAATGAGCAGACCACACTGGTAATCAGCTTGTTGTGAGTGCTAAACGTTCTTTTGCCACTGCCGTGTGGGGCAGTTGGGGAAATGCATTTCAAAGACTTAACCGAGTCCAGCTACAGAATCGAGCAGAATTCCGACGTAACAGTTCATTGGGCAGCAGTAGCTCAACAGGTTGAGCGGGTTATCCATTAATCGGAAGGTTGCAGGTTCGATCCTGGCTCTGGACAGGGAATTCTGCTGTTGTGTGCTTGGGCAAGACACTTAACCCACCTTGCCTGCTGGTGGTGGTCAGAGGGACCAGTGGGGCCTGTGCTCGGCAGCCTCGCCTCTGTCAGCATGCCCCAGGCAGCTGTGGCTACATCGTAGCTCATCACCATCAGTGAGTGAATGTGTGTGTGAATGGATGAATGATACACTGTAGTGTAAAGCGCTTTGGAGTCCTTACTCTCATTTATCATTTAACACCTGTGTGTGAAGGTGCAGGTTTCAACCAGGCCCCCACAATGCGGCTCTAAAATTGAAGCCAACCCGGAAGTAGCAAAAATTGCAGTTCCACCCTCATCCACTGGGGGCTGGTATCAGAAGCGAGCAAATCCTCATTGACTCCCATGTTAAAAATGCCAATTTCACAGCAGAAATAAACATGTTTACAGCCTGGTACCAAAACATGTTTTTGGTTTAAATGATCTAGTTTACACTCATGACAACTCTGAGGGGGGTGAATTTTTTTCTCACTCTTCTGTTTAAGTGTATTAAAAGCCTAAACTTCTGTATAATTAATGAGCCTCCGACACACGTGACCACAGAGCTAGCTCCGTGGAAAGGCCTCAGTAGAGCCTCGGTCTGGCTTGGAAACTGCTCCGGCATTTTGAGTCACGTTTGTGTATAATTTTTTGGATATTTTTTGTGCAATTGTTGGACAAAATGACTTGCTGTGGCATTAATTGCACTAATAGAGCGTCCAAGGAGTCTCCACTTCATTTTTTTCGGTAAGTAAAATTATATTTATGTATTTTAGGTCACTGCCGAGCTGAGCTTGGATTTTAACATGTACTGTTTAACCATGAAATTTAAATGTAATACGGTAAAACCCAGTGCATTTAACATAATGCTGCACTTTAGAAAATGGGTTGAAATATAACATGTTGGTGGAGCTGGGTTCCGACTATCGGCTTGTGGAGCTCTCAGGAGACCGATGTTTTCCACCCGGAATGCCGGCTGTTTCTCCCCGCAGCCCTGTCCATCTCTGTCTGATCGCGGCTTCTGTTAGCTGCGCGGGCTGACGGCTGGTTCTCCCTGCAGCTCGACGCATCGCTGTCTGATCACGGCTTCTGTGTGCTGTGCGGCTGCCGGCTTGTGGAGGTCTCCGAGACCAGGTCTCTGTGTTCCACCCGGTTTTACCCAGTGGTCAGCCCGGCGTATCTCTTACTCAGAAGCTCTGGTGTGGTGCACAGTTAACTCCGGTTGTAGCTAGGTTGCTACCTCCGTTAGCTTAGCTCCCACCTCCGCATTAGCTTCAGGTTCACTTGTAGCTAGGTCGACCGGGTGTCGTCAGTCGATCCCAGCCGATCCCAGCCTTACAGCCCCACCCTCAGCTCCTCCTCTCTTCCCTTTTTTGGAATTGTCTGGGCTTGACGGAACCTGTGACACAGTCAAAATGGCGGTGGTGGCCACCTCCCATTTGGCCTCAAAAAAGTGATATTGGAGCCTATGGAAATTAACTGTCCAGTATACATATATGTCGATGGTTTCAACCAACAGGAGAGGGAGGGAGAGATGATGTAAACGGCGAGTGCATCGCAGGGACCGGACTGATGTTTTTGAGCAAAACTGTGGGAAAAGTGTGGCTGTTTAACATCCTCATTATAAAAAGTGCACACCCACAACCTCCACGGCTGAGATGTGGCGCTCGAGCAGATGTCTCTCATTCTTTTCCGACCCTGTGGCATGCAATGTTTTTAATTTATTAAGCTTATACATTTTTTTACTCAGTAACTAGTAACGGACGTGATTGAAAACGTAGCAAGTACAATTCTTTTAACAATGTTTATGTTTATTCATTTAGGAGATGCTTTTATCCAAAGCAACTTACAATTTATAACCTATAGGCCATGTTGTGACCTGTGGGGGAAACTGGAGTGCCCGGAGGAAACCCACGCATGCATGGAGACAACACGCAACTCCACGTAGAAAGGCCGCAGCCGAGTTTCGAACCTGCAACCTTCATGCTGCGAGGCAACAGTGCTAACAACTGCGCCACCATGCAGCCCAAACAAAAACATACTCATGTAAAAGTAAAAGTACAGACTTTATAAACAACTTCAAAAGTATTAATACATCAAAAAAGAAACTTTGTTACTTTCCACCTCTGGTGAAGCATTGAAATTTCCAATCACTTTAATCAAAAGTAAATCGTTGGTGATAAATTTCTACTTAAAATTTTTTTTGCACCTTAACTCGCGGTGTGTGCGAAAGATATGTGTGTGTGTGCGCGCATGCGTGTGTGTGTGTGAGAGTGAGTGTGTGTGTGCGTGACTTCTTTTACATGAGCTGTGTTTGATGATTGGAAAGTCAATTCCGTTGTACACCTGTGCAATGACAATAAAAAGATCTTGAACCTTGAAAAATTTGAGTCGAGTCCCAACTACATGAAGCTGCAGCAGATGTTTGCACAGAGCAGTTGACAGTTTCAGCTCTCATTATCATATTGTGAGCACCAGTTCACCAATCTGTGCCTCTCAGCTGGGATCACCATTGATCCAGATGAAATGTTCTGCTAACTGTGTGGCCAGGTGCTGTCTTTACAGACTGTCCTATTGATCTGTGTAAAGTGCTGTGTGTGATTGGCAGAGCCCATCGATCTGGTGCTAAGTGGTTGCTGCTTTTAATGATGTGTCAATGGACAGGCTTATCGACCTGCAGTCCAAGCTCATCATCGCCATCGACGTGGCCAAGGGCATGGAGTACCTGCACAACCTCACCCAGCCCATCATCCACCGGGACCTCAACAGGTTGGTGCTAATTACGCACACGGATGGAGCTCTAACATCACTGCTGTCACTAATTAATGGTGTCTCTACCAGCCACAATATCCTGCTGTATGAAGACGGTCATGCAGTGGTGGCTGACTTTGGAGGTTAGAAAACCTGCTCTTATTTACTGGTCAAAACAATATATTTGAATATTTGAAATTCATAGCTCAAAAATATAAATCAATTGGACGCGGGCTCGTCCAGGATCACTGAACTAAAATCATTCCAGTTTATTACTCAGTTAAACCAGTGACCAAAAGCTTAGATGAGTTTAGCAAAGTAGTGGTTTGACTGTTGGTTTTAAGTGTAGACTTGTGCTAGACCATGGCTCAATTTATTGTGGAGACGTTCAGAAGGGGTGCCGTGAGTCTTATGGGCATCTCTGCAGCGGTTTTCATGATCATTACCGCCTCTTCCCTTTAACCCTTAAACATCTGTCCTCTCTTCTGCAGAATCCAGATTTCTCCAATCTGTAGACGAGGACAACATGACCAAGCAGCCGGGGGTCAGTGCTTCCTTCTTGTGTTTTATGACCTGACTATGGGTTTCCTCACGCCTCTCACACTGGGTGCAGATGCTGTGGAATAAATCACTTTAGGGGGTAAAAAATAAAAATATATGTGCTATTATTCTGTGGAGGTGAAGACAGAGCTTCTGCTGGCACCTGCCATCAATTACCCAGCAGCTAAAAACTGCCTTCATGCAGAATTTGTTTAAATATGCTGACTCGGCACCACAGAGTGCTTTGCCTGCAGTTTGATGTTAAGTGTGTTGCATCTCTTGGGATCTGCCTGTTGTGTCCAACTACTTGCCCTTGCCAGGTCTCAGTATTTATTACAGTAATTGGGCTCATTGTGTGTGTGTGTGTGTGTGTGTGTGTGTGTGTGTGTGTGTGTGTAGAACCTGCGCTGGATGGCTCCTGAAGTGTTCACACAGTGCACCCGTTATTCAGTGAAGGCAGACATGTTCAGCTATGCCCTCTGTCTGTGGGAGCTGCTCACTGGAGAAATCCCCTTTGCTCACTTGAAACCAGGTGATTTCTTTTTCTTTCCTACTTTCTATAGTTTTTTAAAACTTAAAAAAAAGTTTAAACTATTTCAGAAGAATTTTCACTCGAGAGTTTAATGCAGCAGGAAAAACAACAGCCTACACAAAAGAATATTTACTGTCGTCTCAAACCAGCTCTAAAAGCAGGTGTCACTGTCTTTTAAGTTCCAAAACAAATGTCCTCCAACAAAAGACCATTGGTAGCAACAGGTGGTTTCTCTTCAAACACACCTCAGACTTTACTCCTTGAACACATTTATTCTGTTATATTTTTTGCAAAAATATAACTCAAAATCAACCGTTCATTTCTTGCATCTTCGACATCTAATTCCCCAAGTTCACAAAGTGATCAGACAACAATTATTTAAAACCCTCCGATCACCTCTTAATCTTCCTAATTAATTAGAGGGCCCAAAATTTTTCTAACTAATCACAAGTTTGTCAAAAATAAAATTATTATAATATTGAGATTGTAAATAAACTTATAATATATTCTTACTCCTTCAGCAAAAAGAAGAATGGATAAAAATTATGATTTATAACAATTCAACCAAAACAAGCATGTCTGGCATTCAATATTTTAGTATTGATCAATATTGCTTAATAAAGTGTTTAACAAAAGTGATTTATATTTATTAATGCATCCATCTTTATTTTTCTGTATCATAAATAAAAGCCAATCATAAGATCATTAAAAAAACACCATCACATCTAAATTAATTTCCCTCTGGGATTAATAAAGTATTTTTGAATTGAATTGAAATTAAAACTATTCCTCTATCCTCAGCTGCGGCTGCAGCAGACATGGCGTACCATCACATCCGGCCTCCTATTGGCTACTCCATCCCCAAACCCATATCTGCTCTTCTCATGAGAGGCTGGAACTCGTGCCCAGAGGTAACACCCTGGCTTTTCTGTGTTCTTCTCTGTTTATTGGAAATATCAAACAACAACCTCTACATTCATATCAGCTGATTGTCACTCCTCCCAGCATGTACAATAATCTCATCAGCGTCGTTACTGAAGCTCTAGAGTCAAACGATACAGAGTCAGCGCCTCTTTTATGCACACACAGCAGTACGAATGGATAGCGGCCGCTCCCCACAATTAAAAGCTGGAGGCTCCTCCCACCACACTGTGATGCTCATAATTAAGCTACATTAACCCCTCTGTGCTTCCAGTTAAGGAGACAAACATGTCACCTGTTAGTCAGCCTGAAATTCTTGTCCTGATTTTTTCTGTCCTGCTTGTCCGCACCGGGGTGCAGACAGACCACTGCTGCTTTCTCGGGATGTGACGTTTAATGGAACAGGTCTCATAGGCCAGTGTGATCTAAAGCACTGTTTTTAGAAACTGACATCACCTTTGATTTAATAAAATTACAAGCACTGCATTAGAAAAAACACATCTCACCTCTGATGCCTTGGTTGGAATTTCAGGATAGACCTGAGTTCTCAGAAGTGGTTTCGAGTCTGGAGGAATGCCTGTGCAATGTTGAGGTATCTAACATATTCTAATCTGCTTTGATGCTGCTTAAATCAAATGTTTGCCTAAGTATGTGATGTTTTTTCAGCTGATGTCTCCAGCTTCCAGCAACAGCAGTGGCTCCCTGTCTCCCTCCTCCTCTTCTGACTGTCTGCTGGGGCGAGGAGGACCGGGCCGGAGCCACGTGGCTGCCCTGCGCTCCCGTTTTGAGCTGGAGCATGCTCTCAACACTCGCGCCTATGCCTTCTGGACTCAGAGGTAGACCAGCTCAAGCACCTCCTCAGACAAAGTGGAGAATAATTTACTACAATGGGGCAAAAAAGTATTTAGTCAGCCACCGATTGTGCAAGTTCTCCCACTTAAAATGATGACAGAGGTCAGTAATTTTCATCACAGGTACACTTCAACCGTGAGAGACAGAATGTGAAAATAAATCCATGAATTCACATGGCAGGATTTTTAAAGAATTTATTTGTAAATCAGGGTGGAAAATAAGTATTTGGTCAATAACAAAAATTCAACTCAATACTTTGTAACATAACATTTGTTGGCAGTAACAGAGGTCAAACCATTACTATAGGTCTTTACCAGGTTTGCACACACAGTAGCTGGTATTTTGGCCCATTCCTCCATGCAGATCTTCTCGAGAGCAGTGATGTTTTGGGGCTGTCACCGAGCAACACGGACTTTCAACTCCCTCCACAGATTTTCTATGGGGTTGAGGTCTGGAGACTGGCTAGGCCACTCCAGGACTTTCAAATGCTTCTTACGGAGCCACTCCTTTGTTGCCCGGGCGGTGTGTTTGGCATCATTGTCGTGTTGGAAGACCCAGCCACGTTTCATCTTCAAAGCTCTCACTGATGGAAGGAGGTTTTGGCTCAGAATCTCACGATACATGACCCCATTCATTCTGTCCTTAACACGGATCAGTCGTCCTGTCCCCTTAGCAGAAAAACAGCCCCAAAGCATGATGTTCCCACCCCCATGCTTCACAGTCGGTATGGTGTTCTTGGGATGCAACTCAGTATTCTTCTTCCTCCAAACACGACGAGTTGAATTTATACCAAAAAGTTCTACTTTGGTTTCATCTGACCACATGACATTCTCTGCTGTATCATCCATGTGCTCTCTGGCAAACTTCAGACGGGCCTGGACATGCACTGGCTTCAGCAGCGGAACACGTCTGGCACTGCAGGATTTGATTCCCTGCCATTGTAGTGTGTTACTGATGGTGACCTTTGTTACTGTGGTCGCAGCTCTCTGCAGGTCATTCACCAGGTCCCCCCGTGTGGTTCTGGGATTCTTGCTCACCGTTCTCATGATCATTTTGACCCCACGGGATGAGATCTTGCGTGGAGCCCCAGATCGAGGGAGATTATCAGTGGTCTTGTATGTCTTCCATTTTCTGATAATTGCTCCCACAGTTGATTTTTTCACACCAAGCTGCTTGCCTAGTGCCTACCTATGATGTAAATTACTGACCTCTGTCATCATTTTAAGTGGGAGAACTTGCACAATCGGTGGCTGACTAAATACTTTTTGCCCCACTGTACATGATGGTATTTAAGTACAAATTACAGAAGTTATAAAATCTGCTTCTCTTAAAGGGACTTTACGGAGTTTTGAATTTTTATGCTCGTGATTGCCCCTCTGGCCAAAAGCGTAATGGTAGCTTCAATAGGAGGCTCGTGCACGAGGCACGCATGCTGTATGTGCACATTCCTTAACGAAAATAACAGCTGAGACGAAGCTCTGTGAAACTGACGGGGGTCAGCTTCACAGAGCTCTGAGAGCTGACAGTCCCGTGTGTGTGTGTGTGTGTGTGTGTGTGTGTGTGTGTGTGTGGCCCGGACGACAGAGGGCAGGAGAACACGCAGCTAATTAATTAAACAATTTGGTTCTGTACCTTTTCTCTTCAGCACAGCCGACAAAGGTTTATGATGGGTCAGTCCTCCTGCATGCTCAGATCATTCCCTTCCTTTGCTTGAAAAATTGTTCCAAAATGAAAGTTGAACCCACATCTTTTTTATCTGTGAATTCAAAGCCGTTCGGCAAGTCTCAAATAAAAATTTGGGCATCTTACAGTAAAAAAATATACCATTAATGTAAAAAAGAAACTCTAAAAAAACTGTGTTCTCACCCAGAATCAAACCCAGGTCTCCTGCATGAGAGTCCAACATCTAACTAGACGAGCTAAACCACCACTGACATTTTGGCATCTGTAATATTTATATCCTTGATAACAGCTGAAACAACGTTCAAAGAACGGTTCGGAGCAAAAGTGGCTATTTTGTTGTTAATTTGCAGGAAATATCTAGAAGAAAGTAGCTAAGGGTCCTCAGAAATGTAGCTAGGTTCATCACTAGGCATTAGGAACAGCGACAAAGTCGCTGAGTTGGCCCTACCTCACTCTCTGCTGCTAAAGCTACTGATAGCAAATGCTACGGGCTATGAGCGCGCATGAAGCAGCCTGCTCGACCCGAGCAGCTCTCTTTTTCTGTGATTTTACAGAAAAGCAGGCAATCACAGTAAAAATGCCAGGGCTCATTCTACAGGACCAGGGCATTGCAGGAGAATGTATGAAGAAGAAATTTATTATTTCTATACATGTTTTGGCGGTCAAACTTCCATAATGCCCCTTCAAGCACATGACATCACTAAGTGATGCACAATTTGACAAAAGCAGACATGTCTTTACAAACCAACACTATGAACTACATTTTCCTCTTGAAGCTATCACAATTTTTATTTTGGATAAATAAATGACACAGAAATGGATAATGAAACACTTAACACATCTGCAATTTTTTTCTCGGTGTTGTTATATTTTAAATTTCTTCTAGTTCTAAGCAGCGGACCTGCTGATAGATTTATGTCGAAGAAATACAAAAACAATACTCAGTTTGTTGCAATTTCTGATGAACTAAATGTAAGTCAGACCTATTTTGATTTAACACATATTTAGTGGCTGTAATATTAAAAACTGAAAAATATTCAGTATTGATGATCAATCTTGAAAAAAACTCAAAATAACAGGGTGAAATCCTGAAATTTAAAAGTGACAAATTATTATAATTACTAAACTGAAAAGAATGCATCTAAAAGTAGAACAAACAATGATGCCCAGTTAAAAAAATCATTGCCCTGGAGGCTGGTTATGATGTACAATGCCAACCAGAGGAATAGATCAAACAGGAAACATTGTAGTCTAAAACATGAGTGGCATTAGTATATACACGTGTGTGTGTGTGTGTGTGTGTGTGTGTGTGTGTGTGTGTGTGTGTGTGTGTGTGTGTGTGTGTGTGTGTGTGTGTGTGTGTGTGTGTGTGTGTGTGTGTGTGAAAACCGGTGATGGTAATTGTGAGCTCAATAAGTGATTTATTATTATTGTGTGATGCTGATTTTCCTGAAGACAATGCTAATTAAATCTGTTAAACTTCTGCAATCAACTAAGCTGAAATTCCTATAAAAAATCTGACTGTTAAAAAACTCCTTTGTGTATTTTATATGCTGTTTCTGCCCCTTTAAACCTATCATCAATTTATTATGCAGGGCTCCTGCAGAAAGAGAAAGCAGGGCATATTGAATGTCTTCAGTTGTCCCCGTCTCATCTGTCCTACCTGTAAACATAGCAGCATATGATTCTGGACACGGATTGCTTTGCAGGTGATTAATGACTGTGGCTGAGGTCGTTCTTGTTCTCTCTTCATTCCCAGCGAGCGTCGGCGAGCTTCTGGTGGCCTCACGTTGGAAGAAATCAGGAGGAACATGCAGTTCTCTCCCATCGATCGTAATGGTTTGTCTGCACAAGATGCTCGCACTGACTCAACACAACAGTTATTGTTTTAGGATAAAGAGTTATTTGAAGAAAATCTATACTCCATCGACTGACAGCAAATTCTGAAAGAAGGGTATAAATTATGTTAATTCTGTTGGTTTTCTTTGCACAAAATTATAATTTTCTCACATAAATAATCTATACTCTGCTGAGATTAGGGGTGGGAAGTTATTATCAATGTCAATGCCCTTGTCGATTCTGTCGATCAATCCATTTCCTTATCAATTCCCAAGCTGTTCAATAGGTGGCAAATTATTAATTGTACACAATCTCCTGCATTATAACCTCCAGTTTATTAATGGTAAATAATCAACTGTACTTGGTATCAGTTGGAAAAATCTTTCCAAATGGCCTCTTTTATGCCTCTTGTGAAGGCAGTCATCCTCCTGTACGGTGCAGTGTTGCTGTAGCTTTTGCAAGATGGGCAAAATCTCACCACAGGTCTGACTTTAAGGCTAATTTATGCTTCTCCAGCAGCTCTGCGAGGAAGAGACGCACATGCATGGGCAGAGACGTTTCGCTCTCAGACTTCTCCATCAGCTGGGGATTGTTGCAAATCAATTCCCCGCCAGGACAACAGAGGGCGTAGCATTATTCTGATGGATCCTGTCACCATTACAGTCATGTATCTGGTCCACAACAGTGTATTTACTATTGTGTTTACGATGTTGTAATGTATTTCCGAGCCAAATTTGTTAAGCCCGGTTTACACTTCTCCGTGAGCTCCGCAACAGAGAGACACACACACGGAGTGTCGAAAAGGTTTTCGCATTGGAACTTCTGTTCAGGCAGCGGAGTGTTGCAAAGCAATTCCCCGCCAGGACAACAGAGGGCGTAGCACTTTTCTGTGGTATCCTGCCACCATAACACTGATGTATCTGGTCCATGACAGTGTGTTTACTAATGTGTTTATATATTTCAGAGACTAAAACACGGATAGATTTGGCCTTCATTTTTCTCCACCTCTTCATGCGGTCGCCACCTCTAAACCCATTTTTCCTGTTGTATCCGTGCACTTTTGCTCCGTTTTTTGTACTTGTTCACTCATGGGGAAGATAATTGTAATTGTTTTCAGACTTTTATCCGCAATGCATTCTTCATTCTGTTCTGGGTCTGCTGCTAAATATCGTTTTACTCTTTAATGGGGCAATGGCAGTGCTGGTGAGGAATTTACAGGAAGCGTCATCCTGACCAATCACAAACTTGTGTTCTCTGTCACTTTTGACAGATGTTTAAAATTTTTGGCATGTCTCTGTCTCTCTCTGTGAGCCTGTTGGAGAGCCCTTGCGCCGACGCATAATGGCATTGCCTGTCTCCACACTGACACAGACAGAGAAGTATAAATCAGGTTTTACAGGAAGCAGCGTCCTGACCAATCACAAGCTTGCGGTCTCCGTCTCTTTCGACGGATAGGTAAAAATTGGGGCATGCCTCCACCACCGTCTGCGAGCCAGTCGGAGAGCTCTTGTGCCAATGCACATTGGCGTTGAATGTCTTTGTCCCGACGCAGACAGAGAAGTATAAATTACTTTAGTCGCTGGAGTCTGCTAGTGTGGAGGTGTGTATACAAGGCAAATGATGCTAAAATGATAGGCAGTGTTAGTTCACTAGTTACCTGCAGAATTAACAGGAGAGAACGTGTAAGTGTTACCACTGCTGCTGCGTTGAAATTATCTAGTTCGGAGCGGATCAAAAACATGACATTCACTTTGAGTTATCACGTATTTTGTGCACGAATGCTTTTGCATATTTGTAGTGTTTCCTAGTGAAATATCTCTGTGAGTATTGCAAGTTGGCCCTTTGCCATCCTTTCTCATAAAGTATAACCAAACGTCTGAGCGTTTGTGTTGCTTAGGTGCCGTGTTTTCTGCTGAGTAAATGCGTAAGCTACATGACGTAAGGGAATCGTTTGCAAAAATGGCAAACAATTCCTAGGGATTGAAACAGTACAGATCAATTCACGCTCCTCGCTGTCATGCAGTCTCCTTTCATTTTAAATGCAAATCATCAGCCTTTCACCTTTCTTCATCACTGACATGTAAATGTTGATATTTAGCACATAAAGCTGAATCTGAGTGCTGTTGCTTTGTTTCAGGGTATGTTTCTGATCCAATGAGCACCATGAGGTTCTGCACGTCGTTCAGCAGCAGTGGCAGCTTTGAGGACGGTACCTGAACCCAAATGGAGCCGTGTGGTTATTGCATACACATACCGAGTGAATTTGTCATTGGATTTTAGAATACATTTAATACATTTTTGTGCAGTTGTACACTTTTGTTTATCTAATTCTTCATATATATATATATATATATATATATATATATATATATATATATATATATATATATATATTTGTTTGTGTTTCTGGTTTGCATGCATATGAAATAAGCAAAATTATTATTGTTAATGTGACCATCTTTTGTTTTTTAATAAAAAAATAATAAGTCACCCTGAATACTCAGTGATTTTATTCTATTTTGGCCAGTTCACGCAAGTTTTAGGTCACATGAAATCAAGAGGCTCTTCACTCACAAGCTAGCTTTAAAACTAAGATTAAAACAAAGTTAACTGGGAAACAGTTTTTGCTCGTTATTTTTTAAATATGATTGATCACGCTGAGTTTCACGTGCAAGTGAAACACAAACACCTATATCCTGCATCAGCTAGATGGGAAAACGCTAGGATTAGAAAAGTACATCATAATGTCAAATTGAGATTCATGGACTCGGCTATATTGCCTCATGACAGGGAAAGGCTGTTGGTTTAGCATCCAGGGAACAGCAGAGAACATCTCAGCTAGTCGAAGCTAACCGTTAGCATTAGCGGCTCCACAACATGAAAGAATTCCTTCAGGTTGAGTTATTTGTGGAGATGAGACATCAACGTTAAAAAGCACATAGGGAGCCCAAGCCTCCTCCCCTTTCCCGTCGGCTCATGGGTCCACGGAAGAACAGAAAAATGAATGCAAGTCAACGGGGATAAAGGAGCTATTTTCTAATCCGTTTTGCCTTACGCCCTGGATCGCACAGATATTATACTTCTATTTAAATAAAAACTGATGAGTGTTTTGACCACGCCAGTCACATACTTTGAGATTTATCAGTTTGTAAAAGTTCGTAATTAGCATGACTACAAATCAGACGTCAGTATGCCACATAAATGACGTTACCACAGAATCTCCTCTCCCGTAGCGTAGCTGCTACTTACTAAACGGACAGATTTATGGTGGTCCTGTCTTCCTGAAGAAAGGATTTGAAGTTTGCTGAACTTGCAGCCCTTTTGCCTCTGTTTTCTCTGTGTCTGGTTCGATGACGTCACTTTTGTGAAGTGCATTTGTTATAATAAACGGAATTAGAAAAAAGCGTTTTTAGTCCAGTTGACTTGCATTTGTTTTTTTGTTCTTCGAGGGACCCATGGTCCGGCAGTAGATGGGCATGACTTAGGCTCCTTATAGAGTCCGTGGTAGAGTTGCATTGCTGTTAGCCAATCAGAGGCAAGATGTCTGAAAATCAGGAAAAAAGACTCCAAATTCTGATGTGCTCTGCTCAGCTCTGCTGTTGCTCACTTTTACTTCCTGAAACAAGAGCGCCAGAGCTTTTTCCCAAAGAGACTAACTCACAAGGCATTCATATTCAGATGGGCTGCATGGTGGCACAGTTGTTAGCACTGTTGCCTCGCAGCACAAAGGTTGCAGGTTCGAAACTCGGCTGCGACCTTTCTGCGTGGAGTTGCATGTTCTCTCCATGCATGCGTGGGTTTCCTCCGGGTACTCTGGTTTCCCCCACAGATCACAACATGCCCTATAGGTTATAAATTGTAAGTCGCTTTGGATAAAAGCGTCTGCCAAATAAATAAACATATACACTAGAGACCACTGCAAATGTGTTGGGAAAAAAAACGAGTGAACTTGGTCTTTAACCGGCGATAAAAATGTTAAAAACAACCACTTTAGACAGAGGTAGAATTAGCATTGAGAGCCATTTCATCTAATCATTATCAGCCTAATGCTCCTGTTGATAGCATCCCGGAGTGATGATGTCAGAGCACTGACTGAAACGGCAGAGCAGCGTTCCGGTTACAGAGCTCTGATGAAAGCTGGGGAGCTTTTGTTCACCGGGTGGAAATGTAAAATGTAAGAGAGGCAAACTAAAGAGTCTGGCAGCTATGAATTATTTAATCGTGTGTGAGCAAGTAGATCAGTATCTGTTTACAGGTAATAGATGGTAGCAGCTGCACTCGATACCGCACTGAAAATACACTTGATTGATCCCAACAACAGGAGGAGATGGTCCTCTGTAAACATTTAATCCAGCAGTCAAAACACCCATTTCTGCAGATTAAGACATGAAGAGGGTCTGAGGAGCTTTTTAAGCTAATCCTGTTCGATCTAAAACGGCTGCTGCTGCTACAGCTGACTGTCAAAATTAGGAATAACAAATATCACATTACCTTACTGTTCACTCTCAGTGCTTGAAGCAGTCAGTAAAGGATAAGAAGTGTGACCAAGCAGCGATCTGTCCTCTGAGAACGAGCTCATGCCTCTTTTCACAGTGTCTTTAACGTCCCCATCGTCTCACTCAGGCCATTTTCACTGTAGGACGTGTCTTAGCCTTCATCAGCTGACTTAGATGTAGATGGTTCTGTAGTTTGGGTTTTGTTTGTGTCTTCCTGACTCTCTGGTTGGACACCCTGATTAAAATCTTGTTTTTAGGGACACGTCAGCTTGTTTTACATTAAAATCACTAACGTTTTCACCACTTTCATCCTCAAAAACACTCCCAGCTGTGACATCACCTAATAAACTTTCCACTTTAGTAAACATATTACTCTGGGACTCTTTCTCTGGTCCATCCTGTTCTTCTGTTCCATTGTCCATTTCTTCACCTTGTAATGAGGTTTTTACCTCATTTGTCTCCTTTTCTAGCAACGCATCATTGGTCTGCTCATTATTCTGATCATCTTCACCTCGAGTCTCCTCAGTTTCAGTTGGAGTTTTGTCCTCCGGCTCCGTTTCGTCCTCCTTCATCTTTAGCGGGCTCTCTGACCCCGCCAGCTCTGTAGATGGAGTTTCTTCATCGGTTCCAGACTCTTTTAAATCGGAATCCTCTTCCCTCAGATCATCCAAAGGCTCAACAAATGTCTCAAAATACTTGGAGCTTTGATGCATTTTGATCCAGTTTGTGACCATATCTGTGCTGTCTTCATCAGCTAAGGCTTCTGGGATGTCTGTCCTCACAGAGACCGTCTGTCCTCCATCATCTGCCTCCTCGTTTTGTGTTTGAGGCTTGAGCAGCACACTCGCTCCTTCCTCTGAGACCTTGCTGGCCTCCTCTCTGTCGTCTCCATTTTCTCCAGACTCTGGGAGTTTTTCACGCTCGGGCTCAACCTCCCCTTTGTCCAATTGTCCATCGACATCATCTACTGGTGCAGAATTGTACTCATCTGCCAAAAGAGCTCTCTCACTGACATTATCCTTAATGTTGGTGTCATCTTCAGTCAAATCTAGCTCTTTGATTTTGTCATCAGTGTCTGATTTGATGTCATTTTCATCTTCCCCTGTTTCATCATTGTCTCTTCCCTCCTCTTGTCTAAGATCTTCTTTCATTTCTGGACCAGATGTCTCTGGTTCTGAGTCTTTATTGGCTGATTCATTATGTTTTTCCAAACTGTTATCACCTTCTTTAGCGTCATCCTTTTGTTGTGTTGGAGAGCCTTCAGACTCCACTCTTACTTCTGCGTTCTCATCCTCTGTCGCTACATTGGTTTTTATTTCCTCTTCACTTTGCTTTACTGGCTCAGACTTGGTTTGATCTCCACCTGGAGCCGCCTCCTCCTCCTCCTCATCATTAGATTTGCTCTCATCTACAAAAGAAATCTCCCCATTTTCAGCATCGACTTCTCCTTTTTCACTTGTTTCCGCAGTTCCTTCATTAATGTTTTCATCTTCTGCTGTTTTTGGTGTTTCAGTCCCATCTTCTGCTTCCTCTGACTCAGCAACAGTTTCAGAATCTATCTTTGTTGTCTCTTCAGCCATGTCAGGGGCTTCCCTTTTCTCAGGTTCTTCTTTGATCTCAGATGTTTTGCCTCCTCCTGCTGTGTCCTCAATTACATCTGTTGTTTCTTCACCTTCTTTGTTATTGTCAGATTCTTTGTTCTCTGTCTCAACTTCCCCTGGCTTTCCTGCTTCATCATCTTTTTCCTCAGAAGCCATGTCTGATACGTTTCTTTTTTCATCTACTTGACTTTTCACATCTACCTCTGCTTCCGGTTCTTCTTCGATGCTCTGATTTTCAGCACGCTCATGATTCTCATCGTTTTCAGTCTCTTCTTGTTCTTCTATGTTATTTACTTCATTCTGAGGTTTTACAGCTTCTTCTTCATTCTCCTCCCCACCAGCCTCAACTTCAGTAATCTCTGCTGTGATACTGTCATCCACCTTGTTTTCATCACCGATCTCTTCTGTTTGATCATTTTCTCCTTCCTGAGTATTTTCATCTTCTGTTATATCATCTGAATTCAGATGAGGTTTTTTCTCCTCCTCCTCGCCGTCATTAGACATCTTTTCATTTTCTTTCATCGCTGTTTCTACGTGTTCCTCCTCCTCACGCTTCTCCGGTTCAGAGTCATTGTTTCTTTCATCAGCTTCAGATGTTTGATCATTAGCTTCTGTTGTTGTTTCATCTTCTACCGTTTCCTCTGCTGTATGTTCGCCTGTAGGATCTGCAGCTGAGCTGCTCGGCTTCTCTTCTGTTACTTCCGTTTCTGATGCTGGAGATGTGTCCTCGCTGTCTGGCTGCTGCAACCTCTCCGTGTCGGCTTCAGGTGGCTCTTCACAGCTGAGGGCCTCTAGCTCCTCTGAGGACTCTGCTTTGATCTCCACTGTCTCGCTTGCAGCGGTCTCCTCAGGGTTATCTGTCTCATCAGTCTCTTTACTCAGCTCTAATACTGATGATTCTTCTCTGCTTTTTGTCCTTTCATCCACCTCGCCAGGTTGAACATCACCCTCCTGATCAGTCTTCCTCTCATCGTTTTCTGAAGCCACAGCATCAGGAGACTCCCCTCTATCAATAGGATCTGTAGTCTTCTCCTCTTGAGCCACATTTTCTTCATCCACATGAAGCTGTGCCCCACCTGCTTCCTCTGATTCATCTCCATCTACTCCAGCTTTTTCATCTTCCTCAACCTCTTCGACCTTCTCCTCTTTGATGTTTTCACAGCTGTCAAGAGGCTCTTGCTCCTCATCCCCCTCCTCTTTCGTTGTTTTGGATAAATCTTTTTGTTTCTCTTCCACTTCTTCAGTCACACTTTCTTCATGCCTTGGCTCTTCCACAACAGTTTGCACTTCTTCTGAAAATAGAAGAAAATATTACAATTACTTTCTTCAACATACACTGCACTGCCAAAAATGGAGTTAACTAAGCAAACAGGTAGGAGCCTCCTGTTGGATAATTACTCTATATGGATGATTATCTTTCAGCTGGCAACAAGTGATTTAACCCCAACTGGTGCAACGACCTGCTTCTCATTTCTTAAGAACCACATCTAAAGGCACATCTGGTGGTTGTGGAAAAGATGTTAGGCTGTTTGAGAAGGGTCAGATCATTGACATGCATCAAGCAGAGAAAACATCTGAGGAGATTTTAGAAACGACTAAAACTGGGTTAAGCTCTGTCCAATGCATCATTAAAATACCTGAAGGATAGTGAGGAACCATCGTCTCTGAGGATTAAATGTGGCCGGAAAAAAATCCTGAACGATCGTGATCGGCGATGAATTAAATGTTGGGTAAAACCAAATAGAAGAAAAACAACATTAGAACTGAGGGCTATGCTTAATAGTGAAATAAAGAACATTTCTACATGCACAATTTGAAGGGAACTCAAGGGACTGGGAATGAACAGCTTTGTACCTGTAAGGAAATCACTACCGAAAAAAAAAACAGGAAAAAAAAACTGGTTTTAACTCTGAGTTGATGAGTTTTAAAGGGTAAAGTTCTGCGATTCAAAGGGATCTTTGGATGTTGTCCAATTAGTTGACTGAGTTTTAAGGTTAACTCTGTTCTGGTTTTAAGACTTTTGTCAACTTTGTGAAAACGCCTTTAGTTTCGGTAAAACTTTTAGGTGTTTTAATTGTTGATAAGGTGTCTTTTAACCGTTAACCTTTTTGAGAATTTTTTTGTTTTAATAATGCTCATCATCTGTTTGCACTAGTTTTTAAAACTTTTGATGACAATAAAACACTTTTAATTCCACCGTTCCAAGCTCTTATGTTACCCCCACCTTCACATTTTAAACAACACATGTCGGGGTTGTAACAAGCTGCGTGAAAAAAAAAGTTTTTCACTTTTCATTAAAAATAAAAAAAGAAGAAACTCTGGTACCTTTCTTGCCCGGGGTAGAGTCTTTGTCAGCGGACCCTTCCTCTTCCTCGGTGCTGGTGTCGCTCAGTTCAGGCTCAGAGCTGCACTGGGACTCCTTCAAGATGGCTTCTGCTAGCTTCTCCTGCACGGATTTAGCTTCAGAAACACAGAGACACGGTGCACATACAGATATTACATACAAATACCCTTTTTCTTGAACTGGAGGAGAACTAAAAGTAAGTAAACTGATGTAAAACAATGAGGGGAAAAAAGAGACGAAGAAGAAACACACCATCATAAACAAATGTTTTTAATTTGTTTAGGAATAAAAACACGAAAACACCAAAAACATGCAAAATGTAAAACATGAGGCACAAACAAACAGACTTTGCAAACGTCTCATTTTGAGGATTCCTGTTATGATAAAATAATTCATACCACTTGGTCTAAGAAACTGGCTACAAACAAACTGCTAATCAGTAAAAATGAGGAGGTAGCATTCCTAGAGAACGCCGTCTCAGCAACCCAAACGTAGACTTAATACTTACAGATAATTTCAAAAGAACTGAAACTGTTTAATTTGTTCGTGTGCTCATTAGATTTGAACAGGAAGCAGCTCCCAGCTGCACATTTCTAGGATTCTTAGATCAATTTCTGTATGTAATTATGTGTTTTTACAAATCACTGCTTCCTTCGTCTTCTCTGCAATTTAAACAGTGAAGACTATTTTTACATGATTAGCAGCACTTTAAAAACAGATAAAGCAGTTTTAAGAAAAACGAAAGCAGACGAAATGTAAATAAAGTTTTGTTCAACCCCAAAGGGTGAACAAGATCAGACAAATAAAAGTTTAATAAGTGAAATAATAAAAATGAGTCAGGCAGAGAATCTGGAACACATAAAAAACATTAATAAAAGAAGAAAGCATTTGATTTTTCCACCATTGAAACTTTAAGCTTAAATAAATGATGTTGATAACACAAGCTAACAACACAGGAACACTGTGTGCTTGTTTAGTTTTAGTGTTGCTTAAACTCAACACAAATTCTAGTAAGATTCAACTTTTGATAATTGTGGAAAAACCTCCACGATGAAAGCATCGCCCTTGTTTACTCTTCAGCTGTATCTTTAGGTTTATTCTCACCCCTCTCCTGCTCATCCTCCTCTTTGTTCCCGTCTCCCGTGTCCTCGTGGGTCTTGTCTTCTGAGTTGCGATTGTTTTGTTTGTCCTCGCTCCCTGAGGGGACGCTGGTCTCAGAGATTTCTATCTCTGTACTGTCCCCCGCACTGTCCAATACAGTCTCTTCTTTGGTGGCAGCAGGTACTTGAGTTTGTGGTTCCTCCGTCTCGTCGGTCGGAGAGGCAGCTTCCTCCTGATCCTCTTCAGGTACATCCTTCTTCTCGTCCTTTATGCCTTCACTATCACTCTCCTCCTGATCGCTGCCTGAGCTGCTGGAGCCTGAATGAGATGTGATGTCTGTGCAAAGAAAAGGGAACTTTTTTTATATACTTTAAAGGTATACAGTATTTCACCCCTAGCTGAAATTTAGTCTGATGCCATATTCCCCAGCGTTAGATATGCATTTTGTAACCAGCCCAGTCATTGTCCTAATCTGGCAGAATTTCATTTGCGTTAGCTTTGCATAAACAATAAGTGAATGGTAACAGCTAGCCTTTATGCAATAATCATCCAAAATTTTCTTGGTGACCTCAATAATCACATCAGAGGCAAATGAAAAACACATAACACAAAGAAATTATACGAGTAAGTTTAGCCCTGGGACTGCTTTATGACAAAGTCGTCGCTGCAAGGCAAGCGACTCCAAAAGACATGTACTTACACAATGCATGGCTACTAGGCCTACACTCATTAGTTTTTCTGAAGGAACAGCACTAAAATTGCACTAAAATGGCAGAGTACATTACAGATGAAGTAGGAGAATTTTGGGATGTAACAGTTTGTCCATAGGGGGCGCTGGGGCGCCACCCCACCAGTCTCACAGGAAAAGGAAGAAGATAGGAATTACTAAATAATTTTAAAACACCTTAAAATTTTAACTGAACAATCTGTTTATAATACAGACTATACATTCTGTGTATTATCTGCGTTTGAGTAGTTCTAAATGTTCTCCTACTCTTTTACTAAGGTTGTGTGATGTTTTTCCTGTTCCTTTGGGGTGAGACATTTTACCATAGACCTACGCTATAACTGGCACATGCACGTTGGATCCCCTTCAAATACAGAACATAGGAGAGCCTTCGGGTGCAGAACTTTGCACCTGAATCATGTGCAGAAGAACGGAGCTGAGATCAGGACGCTCACCCAGAAGCTCTCCTCAGTCCAGTGCTAGCTAACAGGCTGTGCTACTGGTGCTTTGTTGGGTTTCTGTTGCCTCCTTTTTGAGCTGCCTGGCACAGATCAAGCCTGGAGTCAGACAGGTATTACATATCTAAACTAACTTAAAACACACTGTATTTTTGCTTTAATGTAATCTTTTTAAATAGTGTGATGAATAAGAATGGTACTTTGGCGTACCTTAGTGGTAATATGTGGTTAGAGCGCATCTAAAAACTGACTTGCAAAAATGCGCCCCAGCAAAAAATTATTTGACCAGCCGCCACTGCTTTTGGGGCCGCTGCATCACCAAGAAAAAGTATGATCATTAATGAGTAATTTTAAAGGCTAGCTGTTACCATTCAGTTGCACTGGCTATGCTAATCTAACGCAAATAAAATTTTGCCAGATTAGGAGAACGACTGGTTGCTAAATGCTTTTTCCCACTTATCTAATGCTGGGGAATATGGCAATAGACTAAATTTAACTTAGGAGCGTAATATACATTTAACCTTATTTTCTGTCAATTTTTTTAAATATTGACATGTTTAATTAGGATTTAAATGATAAATGACCCGCACTTGTATAGCGCCTCTCAGAGTAAGGACTCCAAAGCGCTTTACACTACAGTGTATCATTCATCCATTCACACACACACACACACATTCACACACTGATGGGGATGAGCTACAATGTAGCCACAGCTGCCCTGGGGCGCACTGACAGAGGCGAGGCTGCCGAGCACAGGCGCCACCGGTCCCTCCGACCACCACCAGCAGGCAAGGTGGGTTAAGAGTCTTGCCCAAGGACACAACAGCAGAATTCTCTGTCCGGAGCCGGGATCAAACCTGCAACCTTCCGATTACTGGACAACCCGCTCAACCTGTTGAGCTACTGCTGCCCGATTATGCCCTCTTTATGTGTTAGAGCAAAAAGATTCACCCACCATCATCAGTCTCAGAGGCCTCCTTCTCTTCCTTCTTTTCAGTGTGGTTGAATGGAGATGGAGATGTTCCCTTTACTGTGGCCTCCTCTACAGGACCCTCATCATCTGCTTCAAAGTCTTCTTCATAATCTAAGAAAACAGAACACATGAGAAAGATCTGTGAGCTGAGCTTTAACTCAGAAACAGTTGTGTTTAAGTAGATTTGGTTACCATCTCTGCCTTTGGCTCCAACAGGTGTCGTTTGTTCTTTATTTCTAGTCTCTGGGTCACGTGTTGGACTGGTGTCAGATTCTGAGCGGCAGGCTGCATCCTCCTGTGTCCTCGCTGTGCCCATCTCTGGTGCATCTACCGGGCTATCCGCCGATTGCTCTTGTGCGCTAACTTCTTTCTTTCTCTTTGGAGGAGGAGTGGGCTTTGTATCTAGTCCCATCGCTAAGATGCACCTAAAAATAATCACAAGGTTGTAACGTCATGAAACAAATAAAACACCTTTTGAAATCAATAATTCATCGTCTGACTGTATTCAAATATTGTACAATATTCAGAGTAGTACAAGAGTGGTAAGTCAATTACTTCCTTCCTAGAGCAAATTTTAGTTCCTATTTAATAATAAAACACACTGAATTTAACTGAAAATGAAACCTAATATCCTAAAAAAGATCAAAGGATGTTTGAATAAAAAGTCAAAGGTGCATTAATTTATTAATAATATCATTATCGATTTATATGATTGTTACCTAAACGAATATTATAACCATTTTCTCTAAATAAATAAAAAATAATGAAATCAATTTTTAAAAAAGAACAAAACTATTTCTTTATTCTTAGTGTGAATATTAAAGGGTTAAAGTTCTCAAATTGCAATTAAGAGTCTTAATTACAACAAATTTCCTCCATAGACCTAAAAGGTGTTATTTAAAAAAAAATTGGTTTTACTCTTCAGACGTCCCTTGCATTATTAAATATCATTAAGGGTTTAATGGTTGCCTTCTGCAATCCGAAAAAAATCATGTTACTATTGATGCTGAACAGGACAAAGATGTGACTATTACCCTCTACCTATTAACCCTGCCTGTACGCCTTGAATGCCCTACCTGTAACAAGGAGCGGCCCCCTCCACGCTGGAGAAGCCAAAGTGTCCGTGCCGTCCTCCGAGTCGGGAGCTTTTCTTGTGTTTGAACTCGCAGCAGGAGCTCAGCCGCTCCACCTGCAGCCCGTTCAAGTAGAAAGTCAAGCTGAAGGGGAAGCCTCTGTGTCGCCTGGAAATAAACTGGAATGTCTCTGAGGGAGAAATGGAGGGCGAAGATCAGAGAGATGAACAACCAATTCTAAAATCCTTGTCCCAGACACACCTCCCTCCTGGAGATATCCCCTGAACACACACAGGTTTTCTCCTCCACAGTGCTGCTGAAACACTCTGACCTCGTCTGATGTGTCGATCAGGTCGTTGGAGAGATGCACCGTTTTACCAAAGTACACCATGTTCACGTGTACTTTGGTTTGGTGAATGGAGCTCCTCAGCCACGGGGGCTCCTGAAGGGCATAATAAGGAAATATGGGGCTCAATAAACAGTTTTAAACAGTAAATCAATCAAACCTCATTGATCCTATTTCAAACACACCAAACTGTTCCACATTAATTTCAGTAACACTCAGTTGATAATTGGCAAACATTTTATATCGTAAATTGAAGGTTAATTTTACTCATATTTTTAATACATTTGCAGTGGTCTCTAGCAGGAATGAATGCCTTGTAAGTTGCTCTCTGCGTATCAATATGGGTGAGCCCATAAACGCTGTGATGTGGGATGTTGAACTGACAGGCTTTTCTAATCCAAGCATTTCCTGTCTAATTTTTATTGGTGGCTAATGCAGGAAATAGGGGTAGAAGACTATTTTCACTTTTAGCCTGCATGAACTCAGAGTGACTGATTATTTTAAAAAATAATGATTAAAAAATGGTTTCTCAGTGAACTTGCTCTTTAAAGCTGATGAGGGTATTTGCACTGGCTGATACAACTACAGTGTAGTATTTTTTGATCTTCTGTAACTATTTTTGAGAATTTTAAACAAAACAAAAAGAACCAAGCAAACAAAGAAATACAATAAAACTCCTGATATGACCAGGAAAAGGGGCATTTCTGAAATTTTTTTTTTTTAAGATTTGTTGTCAGACTAAGCGCAGGTGGGCTGAAAGAGAACACTGACGTCAGTGCCACTGGGTGCAGTGGTGGGGTGCAGTCTGCGTCCTCTGATGGTGCCACTGGGAGTGACCTTTAACCCCCCCTCTTTCCTCTTTGTCACCGGAGGCACCGGTGTCACATAGTTGTTGATGACTGGGAGGTAGGGCGAGGTGCCGTGGTGCGCCTCCAGTGTGGTCAGATGTCTGCAGGACTTCCTGTCCATCTTGGGAAGAAGATCATGAGGTCTGATCAAACTCAACATTGTGATCAAAAAAGTGATAAATACTCACAGTTTGGTTGAACAGCAGGTCGTTCTCAGGAGGGGGTTCATGGAGTCTGTAGGGGGAACTGTGTTTGAGCGAAGCAGAGGCGCTGGCACTGTGGATGGGCTTTAGGCGCACCGGCCTCTGCATCTTCCCTGGAGCTGTGTTGGGTTGAGACGAGCCCGGCTAGAATAACCACAGCGTTTAGTTTTGTTTAATAAACCCTGAGCAGAAAGAATAGTCACTGTGTGGAATATTCTTTTACAAACTTTGTGGTTTTATGTGTCACAATGTTTTCACTAAACTTTGTTTTGTTTGTTCTCAACCACCAGGCTACGGATGAGTCCTTTGACCAACTGGGTCTCAGAGTAAAAACAAAGTTTTCTAACAAATCATGTTATTTCAACATTTGTATATATTAGTCTGCTAGGTGGTTTATTTTGAAATCTAACATAATAATATTGTTCAAAACTAACTTCACTCATTTTTTTCAACACATTTGCAGAGGTCTGTAGTATCAATGAATGCCTTGTGAGTCTATCTCTGTGGGAAGAAAGCTCTGGCACTCCTGTTTCAGGAAGGAGAAGTTAGCTGGGGGAGTGAGGGCAGAACACGGCCGGATTTGGAGTCAGTTCCTGATGTTTGGACATCTGTGCTCTGATTGGATAACAGCAACACGACTCTACCACTGACTCTGCTCTGCAATGTTGATGTTTTATCTCCACAAATGACGCAAGCCTGAAGGAGTTCTGCTATGTTGTGAAGTTGCTAATGCTAACGGTTAGCTTCCACTAGCCAAGACATTTTCTGCAGTTTGCTGGATGCTAAATCAACAACAGCCTTCCCTGCTGTAGTAGTAGTTTTGTATTTCAAACAAACAAACATACTTTGTACTGAACATTCGTCAGGGTTTTCTAATCTGAGTGTTTCCCTGTCTATTATCTATCAGCGTCTAATGCAGGAAATAGGGGTAGTAGACCATTTTCACATTTAGACTGCATGTTAAACTCAGGGTGACTGATCATATTTTAAAAATAACAAGCAAAATGGGGTTTCTCAGCAAACTCTGTCTTTAAAATGTGTCTTATCTTGTGTATTTTATCGCATCCTGAGGGTATGATTATCACCACCACTGTTCCACTGATCCATCTATGCAAAAAGAATCTTGTATGAAACAAATCTGTCATACAAAATAAGGAGACCCAACGAACTTAAAGGTTGAATGTTTTTTTCATCAGACACATAATTAAATCCTCATTGTTTAAATATAGAATTGTTACATTTTAATTTGTCTTTTATGTACAGTTCTGGTCAAAAACATGCATTACTTATCACAAAGAGACACTGACCCATTCTCAAAACAAATAAAAAAATTCCAGCTTTTCTGTTCCTTAAAGAGCAAATCACCCCCAAATCAACTTTTTTTTCTGATCAACTAAATACACACGTGTCTAATCGTGCTGCAGACACGTGTAGTCAATAGTTTTGTACTTTAGTGGATTTTAGTTAAAATTTAAATTTTCTGCCTAAAACTGTCAGTATTCTGCCATTGTCAGGTAAAAACTCTGCACTGCATTTGAATTTAAATCTGCCATTGCTATTGGCTAAGAGGTACACTAGAACATTAGCTGGTACCATATGATGTCACAATGTCATTGTGAGCCTGTGTGTGTGTGTATTTGTTAGCGGCTCCGCCCTCTCGGTCTGTTGGGCAACAGCATTCGTTGTGTTTTTCAAACAGGAAGTGGGAGTTGAGTAAGAATATGGTAGGGGGTGACTTGCTCTTTAAATGCTTTGGTATTCTAGGATATGAAAATTTCACATTCAATATAAAAATTAATAAAAAAAAGCCTTAAGACATTAGCAGACATAAGTACATCTGTGCTTTGTTTCTGTCTTCTCATCCTCTCCTGATTGATGTGTTTCAAACAAGACTCAGCCTGCTGAGGTGAGAGATGTTTGCAAAATAGAGGAGGAGATTCATCGAGTAAGCAGAGATCAAGAACAGGATTACCATCTCTGTTTGTTCAGGCATCAAGCTCCGTGTCTTTTTCTGTTTCAGAGATGACATTCAGCTAATCCTCTCCACTCAGAAACATGCTTTTGCACACAGAGTAAACAGCCGATAGAGTTCAGACATCAGCAGCAGTGTTGATGCAAAGATGGAGACTCTCACCATCCACAGAAAATATTTATATTAGATTCTGAAAGAGTAGTGTTGGAATTCTTAAAATGTGATTGACAAAAAGATCAATCTATTTGCTTCTTTATTTGCCTTAAAGGTACGGTTGACTGAAAGTATAACTAGTATAATCAGTCAATGAGTTTTTCATGCAGGCTGAACATGAAAATAGTCTCCTACACCTGTTTCCTGCATTAGCTTCTGGTAGAAAATAGATGGTGAAACTCTAGGATTTGAAAATCCTGACATATCTACGAGACCGCACCCCTCGGGGGGCCCAATGGGGGGTACTCCGGGAGTATGGGGTACCAGGCCTTCTGATACGGGCTGTTAGGTCCCTGTATGACCGGTGTCAGAGCTTGGTCCGCATTGCTGGCAGTAAGTCGGGCTCGTTCCCAGTGAGAGTTGGACTCCGCCAAGGCTGCCCTTTGTCACCGATTCTGTTCATAACCTTTATGGACAGGATTTCTAGGCACAGCCAAGGTGTGGAGGGCATCCGTTTTGGTGGCCTGAGGATCAGGTCTCTGCTTTTTGCAGATGATGTGGTCCTGTTGGCTTCATCAGAACGTGATCTTCAGCTTTTGCTGGAGAGGTTCGCAGCCGAGTGTGAAGCAGCTGGGATGAGAATCAGCTCCTCTAAATCTGAGACCATGGTCTTGATTCGGAAAAGTGTAGAATGCCTTCTCCAGGTCAGGGATGAGGTCCTGCCCCAAGTGGAGGAGTTTAAGTATCTTGAGGTCTTGTTCATGAGTGAGAAAAAACTAGAGCGTGAGATCGATAGGCGGATTGGTGCTGCATCTGCAGTGATGCGGGCGTTGTACCGGTCTGTCGTGGTGAAGAGAGAGCTGAGTCAGAAGGCGAAGCTCTCGATTTACCAGTCGATCTACGTTCCTACCCTCACTTATGGTCATGAGCTTTGGGTAGTGACCGAAAGAACGAGAGCGGCCGAAATGAGTTTTCTCTGAAGAGTGGCTGGGGCCTCCCTTAGAGATAGATAGAGTAGATAGAGTAGATGGAACTCAGTGAGATCCCCCCTGAATCAGTCCATTGACCGAAACAGTTTGGATTAGGGATTCAATGGCAGTGCACGGGCCGGCGCATGTCACTCAAGAACTCCCCTCTGATTGTTGGGTTGTATCAATGAAGAGCAAAAGAACAGAGTAGAAAAGAATGAAAGGACAGAGTAAAGAAAAAACGAGAAAAAGAACAGAATAGAGGAAAAGAAGAAAGGTAAAAAAAGGGGGGGGGGGGTTTGGTAGAAACCAGGTAACAGAGGTGGCACCGTGGTTTACGTTCAACCACAACTGAGCCGGACTAGGCTAAACCTGGCTCCCCCAATTCCTCCTCCTAAGTATAGGAGAGGGAATGGGAGAGTAAAAAAGGTGAGAAAGAGAACAGAATGGTTAGTAGTGCGGTCCCAACTACACTTCTAAATAAAGGTCTGTACATGCTTTATCCGTAATTTAAACGAGTTATCTTAGCTCCGTCATTCGGGAGGGGCTCGACGTAGACCCGCTGCTCCTCCACATCGAGAGGAGCCAGTTGAGGTGGCTCGGGCATCTGGTCAGGATGCCTCCTGGACGCCTCCCTGGTGAGGTTTTCCGGGCACGTCCAACCAGGAGGAGACCTAAAGGTAAACCCAGGATACGGTGGAGGGACTATGTCTCTCACCTGGCCAGGGAACGCATTGGGAATCCTCTGGAGGAGCTGGTCCAAGTGGCTGGGGAGAGGGAAGTCTGGGCCTCTTGCCTTAGGCTACTGCCCCCGTGACCTGACTCCAGATAAGCGGATGAAAATGGATGGATGGATGGATATCTACGTCACACTGTGAATTAGCATTAGTGGACTCACCGATTTTGGCTCACGACAGGGAAGACTGTTGCTTTAACGTAACAGTGGATGCATCGGCTAACAGGGCTGCCAGGATTTGAACTTTTTAATGCGTGAGAGCAGGGGGGTTGGGGGGAGTGCGTGCAGACCCTACCATCTTTGTGAACTTACCATGAGAGTGAGGGGGGGGGGGGGGTGTTCTTCAGCGTGACATATTGTAGGTGTGGGGTGAGAGCGTGTGCAGAGGGTCAAACGCATGTGTCTTACACTCAGAGAGTGAGAGTTTTTATTAGTGAGTAAAATTATATTAATGTACTTTAATTTGCTGGTTGAATGAGGGGAAATGCTCTGTTATTTATCTGTTTGGTCAAACATGTTAGTGGGGCTGCTTAAGAAGCTTGAGCGGGTGATCTCATAAGTATGGACTTGGGCATTTTCAACATGTCTTAAGGCTGTGGTTGGCACTTAATGCACTGTGATTTATTATCGTGTGATTGTTCAGCAAAACAATGTTGATTTTATATTTCCTCATCAGGTTGACACAGTGATAGTTTGCTCTTGTTGTATTGTTGTGTCCCTTTTTTTTGTTCTGTTTTTCTCTTTCTGCAGGTCTAAAAGCAGACTCTTGTTCATCACTGATTGTTTATTTTTGTGGGACCCCCCCCCCCCCCCCCCTTTTGTTTCTTCCTTTCTCTTTCACCTCTGTCTCCGTGTCTGGTCGGAATTATAAAGCATCCAAGCATCCAAAAACAAAGTTTTAAGTATCAGGCGTGACATTAAAGCAGCAGCTTTGATGCTCCACCTGAGAGTAAATCTATCATTCAGACGTTAATTCTGTTTGAGTCACAGCCAGACAGAACACAGGAGAAAAAATAAAGAAAGAAACTTGAGCGGGTGCCCAGCTTCTCCTGTCACCTGCTCGGGAACAGCAGGCGGCTGGCTGTTCTTGTTTCCCGGGGCAGCCGGGATTTGCGGACCGGCTTTGATGCGAGGCTGTAGTCATGCTAATCCCTCTGGGATTAATAAAGTATCTTTGAATTTGAATTGAATGCTGGTCACTTGTGGATCTCTGAAGGAGACCACAGAAACACTGCAGCTCTATCAGTTGACGCTGACTCACTTTTGCATCGCTCAACCGCAGTTTTCTCTTAAATACTTTGCTTGTTGAATGGGGGAAAATTCTATGCATGTACCATAACACTGCTTGGTCATTCAGCTCCCTGTCGACACAGAGCCGGGAGCCGAGTCAACAGTGGTGAACTCGCGGATCTTTGACAGTGATGGACCAGCAAAGACTGATATCCTCAATCAGCTTACCTAGTTATGATTTCATTACTAAGCAGGCCAGAGGTGCTTTCATTTTGGAGTTGCTTTACTGCGTTTTGCTTGCTAAAAATGCCTGGAAAAACTCAGTTAGCTATGGGTTAGCATGTAGCTAATATCCTGCTGATCTCCAACCGTGGAATAAGAGCTGATGTAAAAGGCCAGGGCGCCTGGCTACAATCGCAGCGGTCTGAGGCTCTGCTTGTAATTTAACAATCCCAGTCCATTTTAGATCTCCACAGCCGACCAGCATGACTACAGCCTCGCATGGAAACCAGTCGGCCGTGCGGGTGGGCTATTTCGGAGCTCCTTCTGAGCTTCTTGGGTTAGCTAATTTAGCTAGCGACATTGGTTAATTTGCTCCAACCGTAACAGCCCCACCCTCAGCTCCACCTCTTTTCCCAGTTTTGGATTGTCTGGGTGTGACGAGACGTGTGACACCGTCATTATGGCGGTGGTGGGAACCTCCCATTTGGAAACAAAAACTCATAGTTCGAGCCTATGGACATTATTTGTCCAATATATATGTCGATGGTTCACACTGACATTGGTGCACACATAAACAACTGCAGAAATACATCCTGATGCTTTTTTCAAATCTTTTTAGCTTCTATCATATTATTCTACTCTTTTGTAATTTGATGGTATAGTTTTAGAACTGCTGTTTTAACCCAGTCAAAACCATTTATTTACATAATTTTAGTATGAAAACAATAACAAAAGTGGTTCTAACTGAAAATAAGACTTGTTGTAACAATTAATGTAATGGTGATCAAAAAATAGCCTTGAAATCACGATAATGATATGATATATGATAAGTAATATACATTTTCTTTTAACGCAACAACATTTAACAATGTCAATTGCTTTTTACATTAAGGCTGCAATAGCAAATCTGCAACACAAATGAGCTCAAAACAGTTTTTCATGCCTCAACAACATAACATAATATAATAAGTAAGAATATGTTATCGAGATAAAAAAAGAGACAAAAAAAAAAAGAAAGAATTGTGTCGCATTTGTCTAAAAATCTCCACCAATAACATGGTTTGGCCTTAAGCCAACTATTGGACCATCCGGTTGTCAGTCTCGCCGAAGCGCCGCACTTCCCTGGGTCCTCCATAACACACTTGTGTATGTAGCAGCAGAACACCACTGGTGTGAGAGGTTCTCTGCTCAATGATATCAGAGATGGAGAAACAGCCAGCTGTTACCACTTCAATTTTAGAACAAACTAACACAGTCCCAAAAAGAAAAACATAATTTAAAGTCACAGACAACAAAAGACGTTTGGATGTAGAAATTGGAGAATGGTGCTTATCTCGGTCCCTCTGCAGGTTTCTAGTTCTGGCGAACAAGGCCCAGGGAAGACTCCTGAGGGGATGGGCGAGTGTTCCGTGACCGTGTTCATGTTTGCTAGTTTGCAGATTCGATATTGCAACTAGTTTCAGTTGAACCAGTTGGCATAACTTGGTTAAGTAAATTCAACACTTAATTTCTTACAGTGTAGGTAAGACATATATTAAAAAGCTGTATTCTGAATCGCGTTGAGTTTTCCTCCAACAGGATGTTTTTACTCACAGACTCAGATGATTCAGAGTGCTCCTCCTCAGGTCCGGAATGCGGTTTCCCATGGTCCCTGGCCCCAGTGGGTGGACGTGGGGACAGGACGCGAGTAATGTCTTCATCATACCTTCTAGAGCGCCCCATCTTCCAAAAAAGACAATTTGTTATGATGCTGTATATTGTGTTTATTCCAAAAACTGATATGTTTAATTTTAACAATACAGATTATTCATGTGTGCAAATCAACTCTTGACATCGAATGTGTTTTTGTCATGCGAGAATTAATTTGTAAAACAGGGCAGCAAAGCTTGATTAAATGTAAATGATGCACCTTCATTTTTTGCACTCTCTCTCTTCGTGCAAACTCCTCCAGCTTCCTTTTGATTGCTGCTTGGTGAAGGCGCTGGAAGAGAAGCGGGTAATATTAGCATTGGTTAGTGAGAAAGGAGAATTAAAAATTAGTTGGGCAAATTGTAATAGTTTATTTTCTTCATTTCTCCACCTCTTCTCACCTCCATCTCCAACACCCTGTGGAAAATGGCCTGGGCCAGGCCCTCACTGATGTGTCTCTGGTGGGTTTTCTTGATGAGTTTGTGTTTGTACTCCTTGTCTGAAACAATTCGCCCACTCCTGGTGATCTGATGAGTCAAGGGACAACAGATAATATGAGTGCACTGAGATGCCATATAATTATTACAGACAACTGAACCAAATCACTGTGATGCCGGTGTACCAGTCCTGCTCTCTGCAGGTGTCTCCTGATTCGAGTGTTGCTGAAGTAGCCGGTGAGATGTTTGTCCGTGAGGCTGTTGTAGTTTGACAGGAGACTGAAAACATAAAAGGAGACTCTGAGCACTGCCCAGCATTGTGAAGAACACCCATACTATAAACTTCCTCTTGATTACAGCTAATCAAATGCTTTAGTGAGGCACAGCACCGTGTTTGTTTCTTGGCAGTTATCCTCTTGTCCTCATTAACAGCAAATCAGCTCTTCCACAAACCAGGCATGGCTATAGGCACCTTTCTTTTTTTTTCCAACACAGATTTGATTTCCACTAGCATTTGTGCACAACACAACAGGATCGTACAACTGCAGAGTCTGTTACAGGTGTCTGATTACACACATGAAGGCACACTTGACCTGGCGGCCTTTTCTTCCTGTAATCGGTTCGTTTGTCTCTAGTCTTGGTTACACTTTTTTTTTTTTTGCCTGGTAATGCATACTTTAAATTTTGAATTTGTTTGTGAGTGTTTATTAAAATTTGCCCAACCATTCCAATGTTCTGAGAAGGTATGATCCAATGACTCTAAGCAGAGTTATGTCACTCTTAAATCTATTGTTTCTTTGTCATCATGTTTGCTTTTTAGAGCTTGTTCTGTTTAATTTGTGTTCATAGAAACTTGTTTTGCTATGCTTGGCTTGTTTTCAATAGACTTATGGGAATACTGACCTCATGGCATGTTTTCAGAAGGAGGTTCTGTATTTACAGTCACTACAGCAAAAAAATACTGTAACATATTCAAAAGGATTCATATTTATCTAATTAGCTTTACCAGTGTAACACTCAAATCTTGTAATACATTAAGTAAGTAAGTATATTTTATTTATATAGCACTCATCACAGAAAGAGAATCACAAAGTGGCTCACAGAGATAAAATGTATATATACCGTAAATCCTCTAATACAGGCCCGGGCCTGTATTTGACTCAAGCTCATCAAGCTCCAGGCCTTTATTGGAAGGAGGACCAGAATTAAAGGCAGGCCTCAATTTCTATTTGAGCAAAATGAACTACTGGTTCGCTGGAGTTTTTGACAATTAAAATTGCGACCACATTTTCAAAGTTAAACACATTTCTTTTAACAACGGTAGTTTCTGCTTCAGCCCCCCCCCCCCCCCCTGCGCAGCGGCCGCAGACTCACTGATGCACCTGCAGCCTCTCAGAGTTCCTGCTGCTCTAAACATTAAAATAATTATTTCATTTTCTGTTCCTCACTTCTGATTACCTTCAATGGTGTCTGTTTGTTGCAACCACCAGGTTCAAAAACTAACTTGTTTTTATTTGACTATTTTTCTGTCCTGTTTATTATCTTCCTGCATCTCCTCTCAATCCTAAAGAGAAACTGCTACCTGGGTTCATATATATTCACCTTACGAGTTACCTTTGAACTGCAGTTCTAAAAGATCTACCGACCGCAAAAACAGCGGAGTGCTCGCTGCTTGCCAGCCACATCAGTTAGGTGCGTCACCGAGGAGAAAACAGATGATGCGCCCCGATCCACAGCAGCGAAACATATCAGGCACAAATAAAAAAATAAAGGACAGAAAACATAAAAGGAAATGAGCCGACATGAACGTGTTAAATTAGTTTTTGAGGTTCGACACCTGATTTGATAATGTTACTGTGGCCGTGCTCAGGACGCAGATGTCTGGAGCGCGTCAACAATCAGAGCTTTGCATGCGCAAGCTGGTTAAGGTTAGGATGGGGGTGAGGGGAATGTTAAATTGCAAGGGGGTAAACGTCACAATTTGGTTAAATGTCCGTTTTACGGCGGGTGTCAGTACCGACGCTCTGGCACAGCGCGTTGCCTCCCGACGTGCAGGAACTTGTCACCTGCTGACAGCAGGCTGCTGTCTTTTCCGAGGACTGCATCTTGCCGGTCATTATCACGTGACAGCGACTAGTCGATGACAAGCATAAAAAGTCACTATAGAGCGGTGAAGTCGACTAGTGACTAGTTCATACAACCCCTGCTACTGCTCCCCAGAGTGTTCTGCAGCATAATCAGCACGTTCTCTTTGAACTTGATATCAAATTTTAGCCTCCTCTTCATCTCCGCACGGTTAAAGTTACCCTCGCGGTCTATCACTGGCAAATCAAAAGTGAGATGATGACACAACCGCCCCCCGTACTTGCTTGTTACCACATTCCACCCGACCACAATAAAAAACCAGCCATTATTCACCTCCGCCGACTCCGACACCGAAAATATGATAACCGGCAGTTAATTAAATACAGGCTAATATTAGAGGATTTACGGTATTTGGCATTATTGACCAATATCTTTGATTTATTTGTTAAAAACATCAAGATGCATTACAGTGAACATGATCATAAAGTACATTTTTCTAGTGCAGAGAGGAGACAACCCATAGAAGCACTGATTTGATCTCATTTCAGAGAAAAAAAACGTTGTTGGCATTTTTCCCCACACACAGTTAAACAAAACAGTGTTGATTAAGGTGTGTGTGAGAGAGAGATAGAGACGGAGAGAGAACTAAAATAATTTTAAAAAACCCGACCGGAGTGGAGGCAGTGACCGACGCATGCACGAGCCGTTTTCAGCTCTGTCTTGTCAAATGCACCACGTACGTTACGAAAAAAGTAACTTTAAATATTGAACTGAAAAAGAGGCGAGCTGAAGAAAACCTAGGGAGTTCTGAAGAAACATGAGAGACAGTGAAGCAAGCACAGAGAGATCCGTTACTGTCTGTGTGTGTGCGTGGATGCCTGGGTCAAGCTGACTGAGCTCCCGGCTGCAGAGTTTTGTGTGTAGGGAGGGGTGGGTGCTCTATGTGACTGGCCAATCACAGAGCGTGAAGACAGTCAGTTACCCAATGAGGATTTTCCTTCAGCACGATTACAGATATTTACGAGTTTTACACTCGTTTCATGCTCATATTCGTCAAAAATGCTTTATCCGTATGCTCATCCCTAGCTGTAACCACCCTGCCCTGCCTCCTCCTCCTTGCTGACTGCCGGCTGTGATCACAAGCAGCAACACAGTAGTTCCCGCTGCTTCTTCGGGAAACGGCGCAAAAAAAATAAATAAATAAATAAAAATCAATAAAACTTTGGATCTTGTAGGCATGGAAGTGGGATTTCAGCCATGGCGGGCCGCCACGGCTACACCTATGTAAGGGAAACACTGTTGCTGGCACCCTGAATCAATGCTAATGCTAACTACAGCTAAGCTACAGCATAAACACTCACTTGCGGCTAAAGGTTGGTTTTTGCTTGATGCGTCCGCGAGGTTCACACGGCTCCACGCGGCAAAATTGCGTCATTTTATCAACCACGCCCCTCCACCTGGCCTCCACACTGCCCAAACTTTCCGAACCGCGCACCTAGGAAATTTTCTAACCACGTGGACGGTCGAACACGGAAAAACATGGCGGACTGGCAAGGACTAGTTATGGCAGAGTTCTTAAATACAGACATTTGTATGATTCAGCTCTCAAAGATCACCGTGATCAACATGTTGTTAATAATTCTTGGAGAGAAATAGCTCGCACTGTTGGAAAAGACGAGGACGCCGTTAAAAAATGCTGGAAAAACATGAGGGACCGACATGTAAAGGCAAGGAAGGGGAACAAACTGAAAAGCGGTGATCCTGGTGGAAACAAGAACGCTCCACCAATTCTAAAAGAGCTGAGTTGGCTCTCAACTTTCATTAAAAACTGTTATAAACAACAGTAATTTCTACTTCTACTATGGTGTAGTGTTAGATGCATGCCGTAGAGCTCCATGCTGCCCCCTACAGTTTGGGAGAATATTGGCTCACCACAGAGACAAGTCGCATGAACCATAAACGCTGCAAGTTGTGAAGCGCGTTCCATCCGCGAGCTGCATCACCAAGCGTTAAGTAAATGCGTCAAGCATAAACCAAGCTTAATCCGAGTCCATTGCTACGAGCCTGGCTGAGACCGCGATGCTTTTATAACCTACAGCCACAGAGGTCAGACTCCTTACATGGGACCTGGTTACGTTTCTTGGGACATTGGTCAAGACAGATTTCAAACTGCTGTTGTAAATTTGTGTAGAATATTTTTGAGCTGAAGAGGTTGCTGGACTGAAGGTTTATGGCAGAATTTTAATTTTTTTAAGAAAATGCACCAAAATACAAAAATAACAACATGTCTACAACACTATAATACACTTATTTATATAAGTTATCAGCAAAAAAAGTAGATTTTGGTGTGACTTGCTCTTTAAAGCAGTGGTTCGATACATTGGCAGTGGTCTCTAGAATGAAGGTCTTGTAAGTCATTCTAGCGAGGGGGGGGGGTTACTGGTTGACCATTTCTTGGACCTAAAGGTATCTATCCATCCATCCATCCATCCATCATCTACAGTTGAGAGCTAGAGATGCATGTCTCAAATGTCTCACAGGCACTTTCATTTAATTATTTATTAAATAATGTAAAGTAATTTAAATTTAAATTCTATCTAGAGGTGGCTCATATCCTATCATCCACAGTCGTTATTTCTTGCCCAGAGAAAGAAATCTATCATATTACGGTAAACTAAATTCATGATGCATTCTTATGTCATGCATCCTCTAGTCAGGATTACACACCCTATTACACTCTATTTGTCCCTCACTACTCTCCGTAGATGTTTCCTGACTACATGGAGGAAGCGTTTGGCATAAACAACGCTCCGGTCGACAGCCACGGTGAAAAAGCTCGTTAAAACACACATGGACACCCCAAATAATAAAAGCCACGAAGCCAAATGCAAAGTTTAGACCAGAACATTGACCCAAAGGTTCTTTGATCAAGCAGATGCATGAGAATTCATGCAGTGACCGCAAGCTAGCGGCTAATGCTAGCAGCTAGCCGCTATAATCGAGTATGGTGTGCTTCTTCAAATATTAATGAATGTTTATGTTCACATCTTAATGCATCGATATTTTCTTCAGCTCTACTGAGTGCCCCATCTAAACAAACCAACATGCTGCCTTAAACTTGCTCTGATTGGTTCATCGGTGTATCTGTTGTACAGACAGAAGCAGATTAGCAAACAGTGACTCGCTGAGAAAAAATGTGTGCCCATAGGCGCATCCAGAAATAATGGCGTAGGTGATAGATTGCAAATGGTTCTACGATCTCCGAGCTTTGTTAGATCGTCATCACTTTATAATCCTTAACAATCTTATATCGTTAGATTGCACGGCCCTAGCTTAAACTAGCCAAGACATCAGCTGCTGTTTCCAGACACTAAAAACACAACAGCCTTCCCCGTCATGAGTCAGCATCGATGAGTCCATGAATGCTAATTCCCAGAGTGACGCAGATCTGTGGGGATTTTCAAATCGTAGAGTTTCACTATTTATTTTCTGTCAAAAGCTGAGATAGCTGTAGGATAATCATGTTTGGCCTGCAATACTCTTGAGTGACCAATTATAATCAGAAATAATTATTTAAAAATGGGTTTTCAGCTTTTCAGTCACCCACACCTTTAAATTATCCAGAAAACTGTGTGATTCTTATATTTGGTGTTTTTCTCCAACTGATTAGTCCATTAAGTTTGACCATATTAGTAATAAAAACATGAAAATAGCACCTCAGTTAAACTAAATGTATCCCGTAAAATAAAATAAAATTTCTGAAGTTTGTTCTTTAATTTTTTTTCTTATTCTCTCAGACTTTTTAAAGTCTTTTAGTACGTTATTTTCAGGTCTAATCTTAACTGAGCGTCTGGTAATGGCTTCTGACGTCACAAAAATGTTAGCAGTTTCACAAGTTCGTGATTTAATATGTGTTAAAACATTTATAATTAAATAAAAACAAAACGGGTAACTAAAACTAGCAGCAGACAGAGTCATGCTGCCACGTTTAACTTAATTTTCTTGAAAATAAAAATGTAAATGTTCCTACCCTTGACTGAGATGACTCATGGTTCTCTCCTCTCTCGTTTTCACTCTGTAGAATTCCCGCGATATTTCAGGTATAAAAGACAGAGATGTGATCCCGGTCCTCCCTGGAAGAATTAGGAAAGAAGCAAAGTTGTTAAAACAAAAAGTGTAGCGGAAGGTTTTGACCAGAGACTGATTCGGAACAGCTCCTCTAACCACCGCAGGACCGATGACAGTTACCCGTTGCCAAGGGAGACCACGTGACCCGGCTGCTCTGGTTTCCACTTACAGAGTCCCACCAACAAAAAGATATAGATAGATGATAGATAGATAGATAGATAGATAGATAGATAGATAGATAGATAGATAGATAGATAGATAGATAGATAGATAGATAGATAGATAGATAGATAGATAGATAGATAGATAGATAGATAGATAGATAGATAGATAGATAGATAGATAGATAGATAGATAGATAGATAGATAGATAGATGATAGAGGTCATGCATTGCTTAAATGAACAAAAAAGTAAAACAAAATAAATATATATGTAATAAAAAATATTGATGTAGTAATTCATGCATTGCTTAAATTAAACTAATTAAATTATATTTTATAAAAAAATGTTTTAGTAATTATTTTAATACAAAAGTGGGAAAGAAAAATGTTTTATACTTACACAACACGTGAAATATTAAATTAACACTAAATTCACACTTTAACTGCCCACCACTCAAAAAAAAAATACTCCTAAAACCATCATACGGAGTCTGTCTACACGGTAAATGAGCCGATATCTGTGGATGGATCAACCATAGAGTAAAATGAACAACGCAGATCAAAATGAGATATGGAAAACAAACTAATCCACGACAAAGGAGGAAAATAAATGCAGAAATTGTGAACAATTAAGGCACACAGTTGAAAAACAAATGCAACGTTCTTTCTACTGAACACAACAGCAACTTAAAAAACTAATTATTGCACTTTCTATGACAAAGAAAGATTTATACAATATTAATATAATTACAAAGAAAATACAGACGTATTTGTATGATAAAAACAGGTGTCGTTAGCAAAACAAGCTATTTTACCAAGTTCATACCAGCACTGTGGGGACATGCATTGGTTCTACACACAGAAAAGGTTTCGTTTTTACCCTGCAGCTCTGAGGAAGTTTGCAGCCACGAACGAAACTGTCAGCAGCAAGGTAAAAAAGAAACATTTTCTGTGTTTTATAAAAGAATCAACGATGCAGTTAAAAAAGCAACACAGCATACCAAAACTGGAGAGACATTATTGTAGATGAGCTGGGCTTCAGTCTGGTGTTTTTGTTTTCAAAGTAAGATTCAGTGAAAACTGTTGAAAATAGATTCATCTGAGATTAAATGTTCTGTAAAAGGCTTCACTGTTGCAAAATGTTTATACTGTATTTGACCAAATATACCAAAGTCAGATTAACTTTCACATTTTCAGTGTGAGCTATAAATGATTTGATATTCTCACATAAAGAAAAAAAAGTTCCTTAATTTTTTTGAATATTTTGTTTTTGAGTAAAAAATTCGGCCTGTCTGGCACAGGGCTTTGAGAATAACGACACAATTATCAGTTGTTATAAGCATAAACACCACTTTGTTCTTTTCTTATGACAATCAGCATATGGGAAAAGTGAAAAACAGCTTAATATTTGTGTGTATTTTTTAGCTTTCACCTCCTGAAAGCTTCTCTAGCAGGGATGGTAAATAGAAAATATGTCAGCATTGTCAGAGCGACACTGTGGAGGCAGATCCTACAGCTGAGACAAATACCTGCAGCTCCTCTGTGGCCCTCTTGTGGAAACTAAAAGAATGACTCTACTAATATAACCATCATCAGCACAATTTATTTGTGCTTTTCTTTATTTTGTTTGTTTTACGTGATCCAACATCCTCCTTGATCTGTGTGGGAGAACATGTGTGATTTTTATATTGAATCCTACCTTTGTTGTCATTTGAAGTTGTTGGGTGATACCAAGATTGACCAGTAGAGGAAGCCAAATGTCTTTTGAGATGATTTGACATGATTTAAACATTTAGTCTCTTTTTGGTTTATCATTCTCTTTAAATTGGAGATGAAGTATAAAGATCAGCACAGTTACACATAGTCCACATTTTCCAAGATATTTAATATTTGAACTTAACTATGATCTGAATTAATGCAACACCCAAAGAACATCTGTATTCAATTTCAATTCAGTTTACAGCGCCAAATCACGACAAGTCATCTAAAGGCACTTCACAAAGGAAACATTCCAGCTGAGTTCATTTTATTTTACCAGTAAGTTAAAAGGAACTCAGTAGATGCACCGAGTCACTCACTTGCCTTTTTGTGTCAGAGACTTTACAGCAATCCCCTTAGTAAGCAAGCATGCAGTGACAGTGGAGAGGAAACCCCCCTTTTAACCAGGCCCCCATAAATCTGGGATGAAAATGAAGCCAACACGAAGTGACAAACATTGAAGTTCCACCCTAATCCACTAGGGGCTGGCAGCAGAAGTGAGCGAGCAAGTCCTGTTAAAATGCCAATTTCACAGCAGAAATAAACATGTTTACAGCCTGGTTAAAAAAACATTTTAGGTTTAATAGAACTAGTTTACATTCATGACAACTCCGAGGGGGTGAATTTTGACTCTTCTCATTAAGTGTAATTGAATGCTTAAAATTCTGAAAAATTCATGTGCATCAGAGCCATGTGACTTCAGAGTTCGCAGTGGGAGCTAGCTCCAGGGAAAGGCCCCAGTCTGGCTTCACGTTAATTGATGTACGGCCATTTCAACTCTCAGAACTCTAGCTGTGGCCTCAGCGTGTTCGTGTTTGGATGTTAATCACGGAATTATTTGGACAACGAGAGCAAGCTGTGCTATTGACTGCACTAGATCATCTAAGCCAGGGGTGTCAAAACTCAAATTCACACTGGGCCGAAATGAAACTCTGGGACGGAGTCGAGGGCCAAACTTAATATTTTTTGAAAAAGTGATGGCAAATTTACACAATTTCTTTATCAACATGTATGCAATTTTGAACCTTTTAATTTGGAAACAAACTTATTTTTGCATTAACACTGAATGTGGAATAACCAAATTACGCACGAGCAAGTCAATTTTAAATAAAAGGCATCAGTGGCATGTGTTCCCCCGTCATTTTTATTTCTAAAATATGAAGTAAAAACTCACAATATAATTTTCATTCATTTGTCATTAATATGTAGTCTACACCAGTGCGTTAAGTGGACCATCTTCCAGTGAAAGCAAAGCTTCCAGCCCATCTCTCCAAATGCGTAAAATGTGCACCACAGCTGTTAGGCTCGCCGCGCGCACCGTCAGCTACATCAGCCCAGACAAGAGCAGAGCAAATAGAGAAAGAATAGAGGATAATTCTGTCTGGATGTGGATGGAGATTACATTTTACAGCAGGCTGATCATCATTTAAATAAAACCATCACCTGTCTTCTAGTCCATGCTATCAGCAATATTTTAATTGGTGTGTGTGTGTGTGTGTGTGTGTGTTTTCCACTTCCAACACTGGTCTAACCAACCAGACCAGCGTGTCCAGTAACATATTAATGTTACAATTAAACAGTTTCACTTCATGTAGGCTAGGAACATTTCACCTGCCGTGGCCCGACCGCTTCTGCTCCCCATAAACTTTGTGCGTGATCAAATGTCTCTACAGGTGCTTTCTGAGCTGCTATTCTGCCTCAGACTGGATGCGTCATGCGTCTCCATATTAGAGACGGGAAAAAGCACTGTTCAGCCAAAGTTTAATAATTTCATAAAAAGAACATTTTTCCAAGTGAAACATCCCTCAGAGAGACCGGGTTTCCAGAACGCTTCAGTGGGAGGAAATCTTATCGCATGCACCGTGGTTCTGCGCTGTGCTGCAAACCCCTCTACAGATCTTCAGCTCACTGTCCACCGTGGGCGCTCCGAGCCGCGCTGAACACAGTGTCCAGTATAAAGCTCTGATGTTCTGATGGGAATCAAGTTACCTCTGTGATGTGCGTATTAAAATGTCAGCTCATCCATGCGCATCAGTGTGCGTTGGGGTAATTCTTTCAAAACAACCAACATCCTTGAGTTTATCCATCAAAATAAACAGTCAAATGGAAATATCTGTAACCTGCCATTTAACTGTTTTGCCTTCTTGTGAAGATTGTTGCAAAGAGAAACAACTAAACTTGATTAACCCCAGAGCCGTGCGCACTGCGCTGTACTCCGTGACTGTAAATGAGGGGAAATGATTTAATCGGATCCTTTTCTTTTCAACATGGTTTAATGTAAAGTTTCATTCAGTACAAACTTTAGTTACACCAATCTAACGAGACAGATCCTGGATTTGTATTCTGAACAGTTTAAACATGTTTAAAACGGAGACATGCATGACGCGTCTAAAATTCGCACCTGCTCCGCTATTATGGAAATTAAACTAACAAGATGAATAACATCAAATTATTTTAGGCACAGACAACATCTCCCACACTTTTGAAAATCTTGCAATGCGCCTGGTCGCTCGTGTACGTCAAAGTTATCTTTCATAAGAAGACAATCAATAAAACGATTTATATAAAGATGATCCAGAAGTTGTAGCTCGTCTCTGCCGACAATATTTTGATATTTTTCACCCTGTTGGTGGTTTTACTGAGCAGGTACCACTTTTGTCATACGTTTCTTTTAAAAACATGTTTAGACTGTTCAGAATACAAATCCAGGCTCTCAGAACCAGAGCGCATGTGAGAAGGTTCCTCCCACTGAAGCGAGTGTTTTCCAAACCCTGTCTCTCAGAGACTTGTCACTTAGAAAATGTTCCCTGATTATGAAACTTTGGCTGAATAGTGCTTTTTCCTGTCTCCAATGTGGCGACGCATCCAGGAGCCGTCTGAGGAGAATCCCAGAATCTGACATCCTCCAGCTCAGGAAGCGCATATGATTACGCACAAGCGTTGGAACTGTTCAGGTTTACGCAGACAATCTTTACATTTAGAATTGGCATACAGATGTAAAATTAATGCAGTAAAATATAAAGCATTTTATTTAAATATCCATTCATTATTTTACAAGCACAGAGAGCCGCATCAGATGGATGGAAGAGCCACATGCGGCTCCAGAGCCGCCGACCCCTGTGCTAGCCTATATTGTCCCCAGCAATTTTTAAACCCCACTCAAGTGTATGGTTATTGTCCCCAGCAATTCTGAAAACAAACTGACGCCCTTGGTGGCATTCATTACTTGTGGTATGTTCAGCATTTTTAAAATCTATTCAGGATTTATGTTTTCTTGTTGTTTATTCATTTTTTTTATTCATTATTTTTTATTCTCCTTTTTTCTCCTGTAATAAGTGTCATCGCTGCTGTGACATCTATCTTTTACCACTAAGGAACAATAAAGGGATTTTCTATTCTATTCATCTATCTGCAGCCTTTCCAGTTCCTGTTTTACTGTAGGTTAAATATTTTCTCACGGGCCAACAACAAAATAAAAGTATAATTTTATCTAAAATGAAAGTGCAATATCTCACCTGTTAGCTTTCATGTTTTGGAGCAGAAAAAGAGCATAAACCAAAATATTTAAAGCCCATTTTGCTCCACTGATTTACTGTGATGCTCACCTGTTCCAGCCAGATACCTGCATTATGGTGTTGAGCTCTGAGCTGAGGAGACTCCTGTTGTTTTTTTCATCTTCATCATAATGATGACAACATTAGATGACAACAGGTGCTCACATTGGTTCGTGCTGGTAAACATGGAGAACATCTCAGCAGCTTGACCACGTTGTTGTGTGTCTGGGAGGAAAAATAACAACTACAGCAGCCACAGAGTCATGCTGATTTGAGCGTGTCGCTGCTCGCTGGAGTTATAGCTCTGTCTGGAAGTTAGTTGGAAAACTTTCTCTTTCAGTCGTGAACACATTACTGAGCGGTTAAAATCTCCATTTCTGGGCTTCAACGTCGGCAGATAGCTGAGTAAACTCAGCGCTGAGTGAGAGGAGTGTAGGTTGTCCGAGACAGCAGAGTTGCAGACACCGGCAGCAGACGCTGGAAAAAACACAAAGGAGGTGGCGCTTTGGCTCCGCGCTAACGCCGCAAAGCATTATGGGAGTTGTAGTCTTTGCGGTAAAATCGGCCAGCGGGTCAGTTTTAATATATTTTTGATATTTCTATCACGGGCCACATGAAAATGCTCCGCGGGCCACTTCTGGCCCGCGGGCCTTGTGTCTGACACGTGATCTAAGCAGTTTCTACTTTATTCTTTATTCACAGACCATTTTCATAACATTCCTGTACACAATATGCACAATATCACTCTACTACATAAATTAGATCTGTGAAAGGGACTCCAAGAAGCTGAAACAGCTTATTTATGGATCCCATGATAATTAGATTAAAATAATGCATTCTCATCAACTTGACTTTAATCAGAAAATCATCAGAAAAAAAGAAAACAATTAGTCAAATCAAACCATACACGCCACAGAAAAAACAACAACAAAAAAACCCCAATATTTGAGTCAATTAATATTCAAATAAAATTCGAGCATTCATGTGATGTCAGCGAGATATTGCCACTATGTGTTCATACCATATGTATTTAACAATTCCATCTTCAAAACAGTTTTACATTTACTAATTGTTTTACATTTCTTGATTGCTTCACTCATATTATTCCTTGTTTGTACTCCTCTGGATGTACTACAATGATATTTCCTGTTGGTTCTAATCAAAGGTGTCTTATGAATAAATGTTCCACGTAAAGTATAATTTCCATCCCTTAGTTGAAACAACTTCTGGACACTGTAAGGGGCTTCCTGGTTAAGTATTTTAAACATAAGTTGTGCTATTCTATAGTTAACAAGATCTTTAAACTTGAGAATTTTTAATTTAATAAACAGTGAATGAGTATGTTGTCTATATTTTGCATTAGCCACTATTCATATTGCTTTTTTTGTACAGTACACAGAGGTTCTAAATTAGTTGTGTATGTATTGCCCCATACTTCTACGCCATATATTAAGTAAGGGACAACAAAAGAAGAATATAGGGTTAGCAGAGAAGACGTATTGATAACCTTTTTAACTCTATACAGTATCGCTATTGATTTTGATATTTTTGTCTTAATGTAAGTTATATGTGGTTTCCAATTTAATTTATCGTCTATTATCACTCCAAGAAACTTGATTGTTGTTACCCTTTCAATTTCAACATTATTTATCCTGAGTTTAGCATTTAGATAATTGTGTTTATTTCCAAAAATAATAAACTTTGTTTTAGGCAAATTTAATGTGAGTTTATTATCATCAAACCAGGTCTTCAATATTGAAAGCTCCTTATGTACAGTGTCCAGAATCTGATTCAAATCCTCCCCACAACAAACTAAGGTAGCATCGTCTGCAAACAAGATGGGTTTAAGCTCTGTGCATGCCTCCCTTAAATCATTTCTGTACAAGATAAACAAAAAGGGCCACAACACTGACCCCTGGGGAACTCCACACTTGATTCTCTGTGTGTGGGATTTAACTTCCTGCATTTGCACATACTGTTCCCTGTTTTCCGCATAACTCTTTATCCATAGATTTGCAACGCCTCTAATTCCATAACTATTTAGTTTCTTCAGTAACAAGTCATGATCCACGGTATCAAACGCTTTTTTTTGGTCAAGAAAAACTCCTATCGAATATTCTTTTTTTTTCTATTGCTGTTACTATCTTCTCTGTAAAGTCGATGAGTGAATGTGTTGCTGTCCTTTTTCTCCGAAATCTGTATTGTTGTTCACACATTTTGTGTTTTGTAATAAAGTTTCCCAGCCTTATAAGGAATAAGTTTTCTAATATTTAGGAAAATTTTGGAGCAAGGAGACAGGCCTATAATTTGAAAGTAGCTGTTTATTGCCAGATTTAAATATAGGTATAACTTCAGCTATATTTTCATCTTGTGGGGAAATACACCTGTTTGCAGTGGTAGATTACAAATGTCAGCAATAGGTTTTGATATAAAATCTATTATTTCTTTAATTAGAAACATTTGGAGTCCATCACAATCAGTGGATTTCTTACTTTTAAATTTGTTAACAATATCAATAATTTCTCTTTCATCTGTTTCTTTTATAAATATGGTCTCCTCAATATTTATGGTCTTACTCTCTATGTTCCCATTTCGCTCGGAGACAACAATATCCCTTGCTAATTCAGGACCCACATTCACAAAAAATGTATTAGATTTATTTGCTATTATATTTGCATCACCGGTCATTGTGTTGTTGTTGTCCAAAAATTCTGTCGAGTAATTCTTGCCACTGCTTTTATGTTCAATAATAGTGTTCAGTATTTTCCAAGTTTCCTTTACATTACTTTTATTTTCCTCCAAAATCTTACTGTAATGAGCTTTTTTACTGTTTCTCAATATTGTAATTAATTTATTTTTGTATTTTTATAGTTTAACTCGCTCTCTAGAGTATTTCTCTTAAGAAATTTTCTATATAACACATTTTCCTTCTTATATGCTTGCAGTATTCCTTTTGTTACCCATGGTTTTTCCTTCTGATTTTGTTTCACAGTTTTTATTTTTAATGGACAATGCTTCTCAAACATCTTTAACAAAGTCAACAAAAAAAACTTCATGTTGCATTTACATTGTCGACGTAGATGCCCCTCCAATCGTGCTTCTTAAGTTCCTCTTTAAAATTATGTATTGCCTTCCGTGTTGCACATCTTACCATATACTTCTCGTTTCTCCTCTGTATCATACTATAGTTCTGGATAATTATAAAAACTGGAGGATGGTCTTTTACATTACTTATTATTAACCCACTCAAAACTGTCCTGTCTACAACGTTTGTAAATATGTTGTCAATAGGGGTGGCGCTGTGCCTTGTTATCCTGCTTGGCTGAGTTATTGTAGGATATAGTCCCAGACTGTACATTTCATCTATAAACTCAGCTGTCGAATTATGCTTCTTGGGGTTCAACAAATCAATGTTAAAATAGCTGCAAATAAAGACTTGCTTAGTACCATTTGTACCATAGTACCATTTTGGGGCGACGGTGGCACAGGAGTTAAGTGCTCTCCCTGTAATCGGAAGGTTGCAGGTTGCAGGTTCGAGCCCCGCTCAATCTGTCGCTGTCGTTGTGTCCTTGGGCAAGACACTTAACCCACATTGCCTGCTGGTGGTGGTCGGAGGGACCGGTGGCGCCAGTGCTCGGCAGCCTCGCCTCCGTCAGTGCGCCCCAGGGCAGCTGTGGCTACATCGTAGCTCATCCCCACCAGTGTGTGAATGTGTGTGTGAATGGGTGAATGACTGATTGTGTTGTAAAGCGCCTTGAGGGGTTCCAGGACTCTAGAAGGCGCTATATCAAATACAGGCCATTTACCATTTTACCATTTACCATTTGTCAGGATCTGGGGTGAGTCTGCACATTCTGTTTATCAGCCTCAAGTCGTTGCAGGTGGGCGGTTCCGGAGAGCGGCCAGCTGCTGTGCTTTTCCCCATCACCTGCCAGCCTTTATAAGGAGCTAGAGATCACTTCACCTCGCTGGAAGATTACTCACTTTGGGTAGCTATGCCATTATAGAATCATCTAAAGTGTTAGTCCTTGTTTTTTGTGCTTACCATCAGTCGTAGATTTTTTGAATGTACTCCGCCTTGTCCCACCAGGAACTCTCACCTCTGACCACTTCTGCAATGACCTGGATTTCACCTCCGAACCTGATCTCCCTCCACACCTGGACCGACCCGCTCTCCCACCGCTCACCTCCCTTGGATATCGGATCACCACAGACATTGCTCACCCCAGTCCTGTCTACCCTCCCAAGCTACTGGATTCCAGCTCCACAGTAAGAACCACAGAAACTGAGTCCTCCTAGTTCTGTCCCACTCTGTCCAAAACCCTGACCAGTGTTTGTCTCAGCAGAACCAGCCCCGGAGCTGTGCTCAGCATCACCGCCACGTCTGGCGGTGCACTTTTAGTTTCCTTAACAGATTATCAAGGAACAAATAAAACATTTATTTTCTTCTTACCTACGTCTCCTAGTGTGATTCTGCATGTCTTGGGTCAGGAAACTCCCCACAGTCATGACACCATTACTGTTAATTAATTCAGACAATCTGTCCTTGAAAATTTTTACACATGATCCAGGTTTCTATACACACAACAAATAGTGTTTTTTACTTCCACATATCAACCTCCACTGTAACGGACTCCATTATATTGTCCATTACAAATGACATTTTTTCAACATATCGGCTTTTATACCTTTCATCGACATATAAGGCAACACCTCCTCCCTTTGATGTTTTCCTGTTTGTGAAATAACTAACATATACTTAAATCTGCATCTCATCTGCTTGTTTGTCACTCAACCAAGTTTCCGATATTGCTATTACTGTGAACTTTTTGCCAAGTTCTCTGAGACAATCTTCTATTTTTGAGACATTCAGGTTCAGGCCCCTGCTATTAAAGTGTATAATTGATATAAGGTCATCCGTTATTACCTTTTCAATAAATTGTTCTTCTGTATAATAATTACACTCATTCTGTTTGTTGCTAAAAAAGTTATTTTCTGGGTCAATATCATTGTCAATCACCCATGAAAGAAAATAAATTACACAAAGAAAATTAAGTAATTAGGACAACACCCCCCAAAAAAAAAAAAAATTAGATGGCTGACGGCTTGTGGAGCTCTGGGATGGAAACCTTTCCACCCGGTTCTCCCCAGCAGCAGCTCTGCGCATCTCAGATCGCAGCAGCGCTTGTCTGCTGTGCGGCTGCCGGCTTGTGGAGGTCTCGGAGACCTCTGTGTTCCACCCGGTTTTACCCAGCGGTCTGCCCGGCGTATCTCTGACTCAGAAGCTCTGGTGTTGTGCACAGTTAACTCCGGTTGCAAAATAAACAATAATGAACAAGAGTCTGCTTCTAGACCTGCAGAAAGAGAGAAAAAAGGGGACACAACAGCAATACAACAAGATCAAGCTATCACTGCGTCAACTTGATGAAGAAATATATAATCAACATTGTTTAACTGAACAATCACACGATAATAAATCACAGTGCATTAAGTGCCAACCATAGCCTTAAGACATGTGTTGAACGTGCCCAAGTCCATACTTATGAGAGCACCATGTGAGCACCTGTGTGTGTACACGCGCTTGTTTATGTAAGGTTTCTCTATAGGAGCGTCCAGTAGAGAGTGTGAGGGGCCACAGATCTGCCCCCTAAAGATGTGCAGGAGATGGAGGGAGCTCCAAGTCCCAGAGATCCAGGAGCTGCCCCAGAGCACAGGAACCCCAGGAAGACTGCGACCAGAAAAGCCCCTGCCCCCCTCGAGAGACGCAGAGGATCGGCCCGGGGGGCCACAACCAGCAGCCGGCAGAGTCCTAGGAGATATCGGTGGCAAGCCCACAGGCCCGCCCGCAGCCTCCCACCCCTTAGCCGACCGAGCCCGGGACCCAGCAACCCGGGACCCAGGGGCGACCACCTCCGCCGGGGACCCAGCAGAGCCCAGGGACCCAGACCCCACCAGGCAGCCACCGGGATTGATCAGGCAGACGCCAAAAATCTTAAACTCCCTGACCCGGGAGCCACGACCCAGGCAGACCAAGGCACCACACCCCACACCAGGTGTGGCAGGGGGAGGGGAGACGAAGATGTATATCATCAAAAGAAGTCCCAGGAGAAGGGAGGAGACAAAGGCCCCACCTGACATATACAGTCATACACAAACACAGTCACACACTCCCTCCCTCATGCTCACGCATACACATACAACCAAAGACTTACAAAAATGCACGCCGGACACCCACTCATGCTCCCCATACACACCCTATTCACTCTGGTCCCGGTACTGCTGCACATGGGGTACAACCATCACCGGTAACCAGAGTTTGACCCTTTCTGCTGGGGTGCTGATGAGCAGGCTCCCCCGCCCAACGCTGAGCACAGCAACCCACCACCCCAGACCCCAACCGGATGGCCGGATCTCCCTCCTAGCCTCCAGCCCCAGGAAGCCAAGAAGTTGGGCGGTGCAGCCCAGACGCTGGGCCTGGAGACCGATGGTGGAGCCTGGACCTGGCTTGAAGGTTAGTGTTGTTGAGCCTTGAAGCTTCCGTCGCCAACTATCAGAGCCGGGATCCGGACCTCCTCTCGGGCTTCTCCACGGTCCTGCTTCCTGAGCCAGAGCCAGAGCCAGAGCAGGTAAAACCAGAACCGGGTCGGAGTTTTCAGTCTCCGTGGTTCGGTTTGGTTCCGTAGCGAACAACTAGCAGCACGCGCAGCGGTGGCGTCTTTGTTTGTTTTCAAAGAATGATTGTTTCTGCTGCTTCAGACAAACGACTGCTTGCTGGTTAGAATTTTCCTCTAAACGTTCTCATGATGTCAGGAAGGAAACTTCTCTTTCTTACTTTTAAACGTAAAATTTGTCCCCAAAGTAGGATGGTGATGACTGAATATAGAATATGTCTGTTCTAGTCTATGAATCTGCAACATCAACTTTCCTGTGCATGTGAGTTCTCTGGTGTTTAGAAGAATAACAAATATTTTCCAGTTTGCAAAATGCATTAACTCAATCTTTATTTAATTTAAAATAAAGCTGCATGTAAACTTGATTCACAGTCTGTATTCGGATCATAGGTTTGAATTTGCAATCCACCACCGTGTAAGCAGATATACATCATGGGAGGTGCGTGTGCAAGCATGAGCAGGGTCAGTGCAGCTGCTAAAATGCTGCAGTGATCCTGAGAAATAAATAAACAAAATCTCCCTCAGCCCTGATATCGCCAGGGGAAACTACACACTGTCACTTTAAATAAAAAACAAGTCCCAATGAAAGTGCTTTTATGAAAACACACAATTTCTGCAGCTGCTTCATCCTGTTTGGTTTGTGAAGACGTCAGGGCTAGCTGTGAGAAGTGCGTTGCAACGCAATTATAATCACAAAAAATACGACACTAATATATTAGACTCATTACATGTTAAGCCAGATATTTCAAACCTTTATTTGCTATAATTGTGATTATTATGGCTTTTATGAAAACCCCACATTCAAAATCTCAATTAGAATACTGGAAAAGGTTCAATATTCTATACTCATGCTTGTTTCCAATCAGAGTTGGACTCCGCCAAGGCTGTCCAGTGGCACCAATTCTGTTCATAACTTTTAGGGACGGGACTTCCTGTTGCAGCCAAGGTGCTGAGGGGATCTGTTTTGGTGGCAAGTGGATTGAGTCTCTACTTTTTACAGATGATGTGGTCCTGTTGGCTTCATCAGAACATGATCTCCAGCTCTCACTGAAGCAGATCACAGCCGAGTGTGAAACAGCTGAGATGAAAATCAACTCCTCTAAATCCGAGACCATGGTCTTGAATCGGAAAAGGGTAGAGTGCCTTCTCTGGGTCAGGGATGGGGTCTTGCCCTATTTGGAGGAGTTTAAGTATCTCGGGGTCTGGGACCTCTGGGACTTGGAGCTCCCTCCATCTCCTACACATCTTTGGGAGGCAAATCTGTGGCCTCACACTCTCTATTGGACGCTCCTATAGAGAAACCTTACATATACAAGCACGTGTAGACACGCATAGTGCTCTCATAAGTATGGACTTGGGCATTTTCAACACATGTCTTAAGGCTGTGGTAGGCACTAAACGCACTGTGATTTATTATCGTGTGATTGTTCAGTTAAACAATGTTGATTTTATGTTTCCTCATCAGGCTGATGCAGTGATAGCTTGCTCCTGTTGTATTGTTGTGTGGTCACTTCTTTTATTTTGTTTGTTTTTCTCTTTCCGCAGGTCTAGAAGCAGACTCTTGTTCATCATTGATTGTTTATTTTTGTGGGCATGTCCAACCGGGACTAGTCCCAGGGAACACCTCAGGATTTCCCCAGAGGAGCTGGTCCAAGTAGCTGGGGAGAGGGAAGTCTGGTTGTCTCTGCTTAGGACATGACTCTGGATAGGTGGGAGAGAATTGATGGATGGATGCTAGACTCAAAGCGTGACTCTAATCAGCTAATAAATCCCAAACACCTGCAAAGAGTTTCTGAGCGTTTAGATGGTCTCTATTTGAATTACTGAAATAAAGGGACTTTTACACCATATTCTAATTTTTAAGTTCCACCTGTTTTGTCATTAAGCATGATAAGAAAACAAAAATAACTCCCTCGTAAAGTTGTGTTGTGTTTGACTGCATTACATGCTTATGCAATAAAAATACATATTTGTCAACATTATAAAGGTGTCAAAATGCTCAGAGACAGTGTTAGCACTTTTGAAGCTGTAAAAAACACAAAAACACACAGTCCCCAAAGACATTGGGACAATTGTTCATTTCTGCTACAGTCCATACCCAGAACCTAACAAGTTAATCAAAACACAACTACAACCACTTCTGGGTGTTTGCCCAGCGTGGGCTATAAACCTGAACAATACAGTAATTAACTAAAATGTAGTGGTTAAACATCTGATGTTCATGAAGAAACTTACAGTGAACCTTGACAAATGTGCATTGGCACAGGTTGTTCACCCCCAGCAGCGGGCTTGAAGATGAGGATCCAGGTAGGTGAGACAGAAATTATGCTGGAGCAGAGACAGACAGACTCTGACAATAAACACCGTAATCAAGGCAGACATTTCACCAGCTCTAAATACCTAATACACAATGCAGGTCTTAAAATAACAATTAGCGTGGAAATGGAGGAGGGGTGATTATAAATTCCATTCAGGAAAAGGTCTTGGCTGTAAGCTAGGAGGTGGCAGGCAGATATCGGGGGAGTCATGCAGTTCTCAGATGGGGGGGCAGCAGTTTTTGCAATCAGCGTTAAATAGAGCCGTTTTTGTGCCTGTGTGATTGTCAAGTGGGCCATTACTCGTTGATAAGAGCACTTTTTCCCTTATGTCGCCCTGATTGGGCTGAGCATGCTGCTCCATCTCGCATGCTGTCCCAATGCAATCAGGCCCCTCTTTCACTGCACTGCCATTTTCACTGCTGTGATTTCCACCCAAAGCCGCCTCCTCCTCCTCCTGTGTCTTGCCTCCCCCTACCCCTCCCACCTGACGCAACTTCTCCCCCCTTTAAATTCAATGAGTACCCATTTACAGCAAGGAGAAAAGGTCGTGCTAAACTCGTTGTGTCAATTGTAAACCACCTCAAATCGGACTGATTTCAATGAAAGAAATGAGCGGGTGCAGCCCCTAAGAAAGCAAAGGTCCGTGTGGAAGTAGCAGATCAGAGGATTTTCTCTGAAACTTGAGGCCAAAGGCTCATCACTTCTTTGATGAAAAGTCTCCCACAGCCCTTTACACTTACTAAAAACGATTTCCTTTTTTTATTTTATTTATTAAACTTTTAAGAATAAAGTAAATCCCACCCAGAGTGTTTAGAAAATCAGAACTGGGACAATTCTGCTTCAGATTTTGATTATTAGGAAATAATAAAAACATTTATTACTTCATTTATTTTGTAGCAAAACAGTTTTTCCATATTTGAAGAAAAACTAACTGAGTGTTCGGTCCATCCTCCACGTAAGATAATAAATCACCTGCACCAGCACTTTACACTACAGTGAATCATCCATCCATCCATTCACACACACACACACACACACACACACACACACACACACACACACACACACACACACACACACACACACACACACACACACACACACACACACACACACACACACACACACACACTGATGGCGATGAGCTACGTTTCAGCCACAGCTGCCCTGGGGCACACTGGCAGAGCCAAGGCTTCTGAGCACAGGGACCACCAGTTCCTCCAACCACCACCAGCAGGAAAGAAAGGTAAAGTGCCTTGCCCGAGGACACAACGACTGACTTGATCAAAGGAACCTGGGATTTAACCGGCAATCCACAGATTGGAAGAAGAAGTAGAAACAATCTTTTAGCACCTCTCAAGATAAAAATCATGAGGCACTTTACAAGAACGAAAATAAAAAATATTACAAAATATCATAACATTGGAAAAAGTAAACAATTGTGATTAAAAAATGTAAGTAAGTCAGTCGGACATTACCCCTGCTAAAGGTGTGTGTGTGTGTGTGTGTGTGTGTGTGTGTGTGTGTGTGTGTGTGTGTGTGTGTGTGGCTTCCTTTTAGTGCTGTCTTTAGTGCACAGACTCTAGATTCAAAAGCACACACTGTAAAGTCTTGTTTTTTTTTTACAGTAGTGATGATAGTACTGTGACTTACTACAGTAGAACTTGGTGTGCTGTGATTTTTTAAAGTATTGCATGTATTACCATAATTTATGCAGTATTTTCATTCCACTGTAAAATTTTGTTTTGTTTCTTACAGTAGTGATTATATCACTGTGACTTACAACAGTAGAACTTGGTCTGCTGTGAAGTTTTACAGTATAGCATTTATTACTGTGATTTATACAGTATTGCAACAGTTACTGTCAATTATACAGTATTTTACTTTAAATACATTCACAGTGAGTTACTTTACAGAAACACAGTAAATTACTGTGTAATTCACAGTCATTTTTTACAGTGCAACATAACATTAAAGACTCCAGAGTTACAATGGAGTTATCTGAAGGAGCAAGAACTCTAAGACGGTCAAGTATTCTTCACAGCTGTATGGAACAAGAGCACCTAGAACCCTCTGACCTACGTCCAATCCATGACGCAGCAGTTCTTGGTTTGTGGGTCCACAGGAGAAGGTCACATGTATCTTTGTCAGGCTATGATGTCTGACT